TCCAGTGAGTCCGCGTGCCGCCGATTGAGAACCACTGGGTGAGCACAAGACTCACAATCAAAAAGACGCGAATTCAAATCCGGCTTGCAGGTCAACTTGGCTTACGCACTTGCGATATGAACCTGAAAACCCCGAGCTCTAATCCCTACACCGAGATAGCATCGATGGTTGTTGAATATCTGAACCGGTACCCACTTAGCCAAGACGCACGGTCAATCATCCCACGTGGTTGACGCGGCGTGGAGAGTATTATATCCAACAGTGGGTTAACAAGGCGATATGCGAGTATTTTTGATCCAGATATTATTTGCAAGAGGCAAATGCTGCTGTCACACTTGCCCTCGGATAGTTTTGAATGTATTCATACTTCGAAATGTGTATTTTTTTTGTACGGCGTTTTGAGATTTCGTTATTAAAGGCTCTTTATAACATCGAGGTTATTATTATTATTACGGTATTTAAACGCGACCCCTGCCGTCATCAAGTCAAAACATCTACCCCGCTCAAACTGGTAATCAGTCAGAACTAATCTCTCCTGCCGATCCGTCAGTCAGTGGCGGAAATTTCACTTTCTGTCAGCCACCAGAAAATCCCAACTGTGGCACTCACGTTATAAACCCTGGCGAAGAGTCTGATGGTTACGATGATAGTGTTGACATTAATAATTGTGGTCAATGTTAATTATGATAATAACGATTATGGCCTGCGGCGATGGTGATCGTTTTGATGATTGTGATCGAATGTGGCAGACGTCAGACGTCAGCAGAGTGCTGCCGAGCCCGGCACCGCTGAGATCCTTGGGTTCAAGATCAAATTTCAGCCCACTGCGTTTGCAAAATGCAGCGAGTTGATTTCAGCCGTGACACCGCTCTCCTCCTCTCTGCACAAAAAAAAAACAAATATTGCTCATTTACCTTTTAGATTTAATCTGGGTAAATGCCGGCCTTGACAATTAACTGCCACGGGTTATCATGCGACGACACACAGACTCTCTCGGTAGCGGAGAGCGAGCGATATAACAGTGCCCATTGGTGTGGGTGCAGCAAAGGTCACTGTGTGCAAGGAAGGCATCTCTTGAGGAGGGAGGCACTTCTACGAGATCTGCGTGCGTGGGTCACGAAGCGTTCCAAATTGCAATGCTAAAGATGCGCACGGAATTGACGTCTCGAGACGTGCCGCCTAAAACGGACAATCGGTTTAACATTGCAGCGGGGAATTAACAATACATTACGACGACGGTGAAAGCTGCACAATCGGGTTTGTTTATATGTCGACGCACATAAACAAATTCGGCTCTAATAACCCGCCAAACGCCGGCACGGGGATCCCGGGTGAGGCAGGAGCCCTCGGTTGGGAGGCGCCGCGGAACCGGGAGGCTTCAATCCCCGCGAGCCGCTCAGGCGAGACCGCGGCGTTGTAGGCCTCAACAAGGCCTCCGCGGGGGTTTGGTAAGCGGCAACAAACTCACTTTTGTCGACGTGGACGTCATTGACGCGGTCGCTGCGAGCCGACGATTGATGAACGTGCGAATAAATAACGAACGTTGAGAAAAGAAACGCGGTTACATGTGAAACGAGATAGGGCGAGTTGAACCGAAGAAGGAAAAATTTAAGCCTTTTTTTAAAATGGCGGGCTGAGCGACGAGACGAAGCGATCTGATTCGCTGAACGTCGGAGGGCGGGTTGCGAATTGGAGACGAGCTCTGATTGGACGGCGGCTCTCTCGGCAGTTAACATGCGGGGGGTGGGGCGGGGGGGTAGGGGGAGTGGGGGAGGGGCGGGGCGGTGGGGGAGGGGCGGGGTTGGGGGGTGTAGGTTTTCGCGACCAATATCAATAATCGAGGTTTGTTTGGGTTCGGGGCCGTCCATAAATGACGTCACGCACCTAGAAGGGGGGGGGGGGGGTCAGACATTTGTGACGATGTGTGACGAAGGAGGGGGGGGGGGTGAGAAATGTGACGTCACATCATAATGCGCAACTTTAAATAAATATAGACAACACGTTCTACTTAATTAAATATGATTTTTTATAATTTTTTTGTCCTACAACATCAGAGTGCAGCGCCACATTAAATACGCACTACAATGACAATAGTTTAAAGCGATTTGAAGCATGAGCATGTTTTATTTTGGGGGGGGGGGCAGAGCTTTGTGACGTCATATTTGAGGGGGGGGTCTGACTTTTTGTGACGCCGTGTGACGAAGGGGGGCGGGGGGGTCAAAAATCGTCCAAAATCACGTGACGTCATTTATGGACGGCCCCTTAACCCAAACAAAAACCTCTATTATGGATCGCAAAAGAAGCCGTTATCAAATCACTGCTTGGATGAAAGCACCCCCCCCCCCCAAATAAAAAACAAACCTTTGGCATCTCTCTCAGTTTTGCATTTCATAGTTTTCCAATTCGTGGTTTGCATCATCTCGACACTCCCGCTATCATTAATGTCGTCCACCGGTCATCGTCCCACGTAGCAAGCGGTGTTCTTCACACATTTTCAGGGGTTAGAGGCAGGGCACCTGGAGGTCAGGGGGGCCGCCATACCATTTGAAACCATTGCGGTTTGACAGCACGATGATGATAATGAAGATGGGGGTGGGTAGGTGTGTGTGTGTTTTCACATTTGTGTTTTATCGGGGGCCGCAATAAAGGTCGCTAGGGGCCGTCAGTGGGCCGCGGACCTTGTCTGAATCGGTCCTGTGCCTCCCCGAGGTCGACTCGGCCTAAAATAAGTACCTGGTGCGGTGTGTAAACATTGCCACTGGGGAGACAAAGGCGGTCGGGCGTGGTGCTGTGTTGCTGGCCACCCACCCCATTCGTGCACCGTTCTGGCCTTCATAGGTGCCACTCGCTAACAGCACTTGCCCCTACAGTCCACCCCCCTCACCCCCCCACCACAGGCACTCTTACCTTGGGGCCGTCCATAAATGACGTCACGCGATTTTGGACGATTTTTGACCCCCCCCCCCTCTCGTCACACGGCGTTACAAAAAGTCAGACCCCCCCTCAAATGACGTCACAAAGCTCTGCCCCCCCCCCCCAAAACCATATTTCCATTTTTAAAATAAAACATGCTTCAAATCGCTTTAAATTATTGTCATTGTAGTGCGTATTTAATGTGGCGCTGCATTCTGATGTTGTAGGAGTGTTGTTATAACAATTAGTGTTGTTATAACAATTCTACATTTATTTAAAGTTGCGCATTTTGATGTGACGTCACATTTTCTCAACCCCCCCTCGTCACACATCGTCACGAATGTCTGCCCCCCCCCCCCCCAGGTGCGTGACGTCATTTATGAACGGCCCCTTGGCCTCACCTCCCCGCACTACCCTCCCCCCAACCCCTAATCATTGTAGCCAGGTCGCTTCTGACAAAATAAGCTAATATCTCAGTGGGCTTTACCTGCTAAGATTGTTTTAATGTTTAATTTTAGCGATATAACCTCCTGCCTCAGCAGTTCGCCTGCTGTAGTTTTGTACCTGAAGACGATTGCTTGTGTTGCGATCGAAACATCGTGATTTTTTAAATTTTATTTTCGATCTACGTGACTTTGGGGCCGTCCATAAATGACGCCAGGCGATTTGACGATTTTTGACCCCCACTCCCCCAGTCACAAAGCTCTGCCCCCCCCCCCCAAAATAAAACATGCTTCAAATCGCTTTAAACTATTGTCATTGTAGTGCGTATTTAATGTGCCGCTGCACTCTGATGTTGTAGGAGAAAACATTTATAAAAAAAAGTTTTCTTTAGTGCTAATGCTTTTCTGTCTAGGCCAAGGTGTTCTATTTGTGCTCCCCCCCCCCCTGGATTCTGCTGGATATTTCCGCTTCACATTTCCTCCCCGTCTCCTCGTTCACGAGTGCCTCTATGTTCCTCTTATACTGGTAGGAACGAAGTGAACCAGCCTACAATAGATTATATCGTCCGTCCGTCCGATGTCCGATTAGGTGTAGCAACATCGCCCCCTACTGCAAACACTTGGCAGGACCCTACAAAAACCTTTAGACTCAGTGAGGCTTTCCTGGCTAAACAAGTGTAACATTCCCTTATAATTCACTGAGATAGTTTTTTAATTCCATGAGATAGTTTTTAATTAAACATTTAAATTGAAAATTAACTTATTCCCTGAGATAGTTTTTAATTAAAACATTTAAATTAAAAAATATCTCACAGCGGCCTAAAGCCTACAGCTAGGCCTAAAGCCTAGAACTAGGCCTCAAACTCTCCGTTCGTATCGTATTTGTTCGTTCCTATCAGCCCACCCCGCAGGGACCTGTTTCTCATATTGCGTTTCGATATTCAGTTTTAGTCAAAGGCTGCATAATACCAAGCGTGGTCCGATGATACATCGGCTCCTTGGAATGTTCTGAATAGTCAAACTGTTCTCCAGCGTGAGAGATCATTACCAGACCTCTCATTCATGTCTTACCATCCGGTAACCCTCCATTTCCATTTTCTGCATTATTTTAGTTTGAACTTAGTATTACATGTTTTGAAGTGAATTACAGCAGTTTTTCACCTCTTTCATTTCTTTCTCCATATTCACACCTTTGCAGGATGCGTCCCCATCTGACGTAACCCTTCCCAATGTTCGCATTCCAATCTCCAACAAACAGCTGAACAGCTTTTGTAGGCAGTTCCTTTAACGTTGTTTCCAGCGTTCCATATAATTCTTTAATATCCTCTTCTGCACCATCTGATGTTGGTGCACATATTTAGATGAGACATATTTAGGGGTTGCCCAATAAATATCGCTACAATTACCCTTGGACTAGGCGGTCTGTATGCCACGACGGTACACCACGTAAAAACGAGACACTTTACAGTACTGTGTATAGAAAGATGATATCACCAGCCCTGTAACCAGAAATTTGACCCAAGGGCAGAAAGTAAGGCAAACTGGCTAAACATCCCACTGTAGGACCTTTCTACAAACACTGTCCGAGTATTTGAAACGCGGGACATGTTACGCATACGCATGACCAGGCAGCGTGTCAAGCAATTCTCGTCTTACGCGTGTGTTTATTTAAACAGAGTATACATGCGAGCGTGTACATGGTAGCAAGAGTGGCTGAGGCGGCGGTGTGATGTACAGCCCCAAACAAAGGCAGGGCAAAGGTCATCGCTGAGCCAACTCATCCATGACCTCAGCCGCCCCGAGCCAGAGACCCTCCGTTTCCTCAGTGGCACAGCCCTAGACCGCTTCCACAACACTGCTCGCCTCTCACACAGCAGCTGGCCAAGGCAAGGATCAGGGTAAGGTTATGCTCAGTTTCAGGGTTATGAACTTGAGCTGTTGGGAGGTTACGTTTATTGCATAGGGTTAAGTTAGAGCGGGGATTGTGCTTAGACATGCAGTTTGGAATTATGACACATTTTAGTTTGGAGATAAGTGATTCCATATGGTGGACGTTTAAATGCAGGAGTTATGCTAAGGAATTTGGATTTAATTCAGGTTAACTCAATTAAGGTCAAGAGTTAAGAACTGGGGGTTTCTGGATATAGTGAAAATGGTGGGAGTTGAGGTCACGTGACAGGGCAGGATCAGAGGAGCGTCAACAGCTTGATGTTTCCCTCTTTTCAGAAGGTAGCTAATTGCGAAAGGAAGCGACCTGCAATTAACTTCAACACCTATTTGGAAGCCACCACCAATAAATCACAATGTCGGTACAAGTTGGGGACATGGTTGAGATCTTCGGATGGCCTGGGTTAGGCCTGACGTGGGTCGGAGTTAGAGGTTTGGGCTGGTATATCTCTGCGTTGACCTGGATTGAGATAATGCTCGGAAAATGTTGGCGTTAAGGTTGGGGACTGACCGAGGATAGGGTTAGGTAAACGTTTGGGATTATAGCTCGACAGTTATAGGCTTAGAACCAGTCAAGGGCTAGGTTACAGTTAAAGTGTGTGCAGGTTATGGTTAGACTTTAGTTAGACTGCATTTGTGTAGGGGTTTGTGATTGGATAAGGTCTGAAGTGGGATACAGTCCTGGTTGTGTAAAGGTCAAAGTTGTTGTCAGGACGAGCTTAAGGCTCGAGCCATGGGTGGGTTAAGGTTGGGGCCAGGGTTAAGTTAGGGTTTGTGTTGGTTTTAAGGTTAGGGCCAGGTCTAGTTTTGGGTCTGGGCTGACTTGGTGTTGGGAGTGCAGGTTGTGTGTAAGGTGAGCGGTGGGAGGACAGCGGCCGGTTCTGGGTTTGCACCACTGGAAATGGAACCCTCGCAACCAAGCCACTGAGTGAAATAATCATGAGTCTGTTAAAACATAAATAAACACATTTAAAATTAATAGTAAAAAAACCTGTCCTTAATACTCCCATGTATAATGACACCATTCTCAGATGTGCATAATTTGCAGTTCTTGTCGGAAGTCTTCAACCGATATAGGTAACACGGCACATTGGATTGGACAGGAAGAGCTTCCAACTGAATGTGCATGCAAAATAATGCAATTTATATTACACACTTTTTTCCTAACAATAATGACCTTGATAATCATAATAATAACGCATTCTTTTTGTCTTGACCAAAGTGTGAAATTCCTTAAAGAACCAGCAAAAAAACGAAAGCCAAGCATATTTAACCTGAAGGATTTTTGTTGTTGTTGTAAATGTAAGCCATTGGATGTTAACTGCAAGACCGTGAACAATCTCAGTGGATTCACAAACTGAAATTTGATCTCCACAATTATTCAAAGTCAACTTTAAAATATTTTTTTTGCTTTTAAATGTCTACTCTTCTTAACACCCCTCCTCTTCACCCAACCAATGTAAATTATTATCGTACATCCTATATACAGAATTCTTATGCAACACACTTAACAAACGCTCAATGTAGTCAGAAAAAAATAACAAATTTCCCCCAATGTACATTATACTTTACAGAATTTTAAATTTTAAACATTTGGTACAGAAGGGATCAGAATTTCATTATTATACATTTCTTTTGGAACAGCTGGAACTGTTCTGCCATTAGCAAAACGTATATAACATTAGCTTTCCTATTTCACACGTGTTTACACTTTGATTGTAGGTTAACAATGTATTGCTTAAAACACACCTACGATCAGACTATATAAGCATTGAGCGGCAATGTCCAAAGATCAAAAATAGTTAACAGAATTCGGGGCGGGTACAAAAAAAGCGGTTAGCCTCAAAATTCCGTCAACACATTTTTGATTTTAAACATTTCAGCGAGAACAAACAAAAATGTCATGAAAGACCCAAAATTATATATTTTATATTTCACATGCAGCCGGATGCCTCGAGAGGGAAACTCAAACTCATGACCCAACAAGTGTGTGTCTAGGTTCAAGCCCAATACAGCTGTCCCAGACAGCCCAAGCGCAAACAAAAATCCCCCAAAAGTTGCTGTTGTCTTTGCAAAAGTTAATTTGAGGAGGCTGCAACTCAAGACCAAGAAAGGGTTGTCCTACATACCCAGACAGACAATATCCATTCAGACACTTTAAGACACAACCGATGACCTGGCCGTCAGCAATAGCGTGGTCTCTATAATCTTAAGTCCACGATTCAATCCCAACTGTGAGAGCATGGTTTATAAAGGGGTATTGAAAGAGTTAAGCGTTTTCAGTCATTCTTGTCCCACACCCACGTAGGGCACCTTCACAGCGTCATGAGCCACATTTTGCACAGGCCGCGGAAAAACGTATAATAAATGGCATCGAAACTCTCTCAGCGCTGGAACGCCTCCCCAGAGTAAAATGCGAGCCATGTTTGTCATGGAGAGTTGTAATTTTTGTACCAATCTACCGGAACTGGCGTCGACAAAAATATGAAAGAAACCTGTAGCCAATTGTTTTCATTGTGTGAAGCCACTATATGAAGCAGTCTCAGTGGGTGTATATATATATATGCTGCAAAAAAATGAGAAAAATCTGCCATTTACACTGATGTTCTGTACACATGCATACATATTTATAAAAATAAATTACTTTTTATACAAGTGTGCTTTCTTTATTAGGTGCAAGGGCAGTGGAAGGTAGCTAGCTCATGGCTCCGGTTTGAGGGAATGGCAAATTCCACCTTGGCATTTCCATTGCACAGAATTCACATAAATTTCCATCCGACCTGCTCTGAAGATGACCTATGGCTATTAAACCCATGCCTCCACGTCATAATTACCAACATCGAGCTGCAGCTGAAACTTAAAAGGCTTGTGGCAGAGTGTGGTGCTTGTCCAGGTGGTGGCCACGTGAACCGGCTTTGCTGTGACAGCTGGAATTGAACTGGGCTGTTTCTCACTGTTCCAGGTGTCAGTGGTTCCCTTGCCAAGCGACTTGTTAATTTCCAATGGCAATGAATAACAGAAGTCTTTTCTTGCTGTGGTTGTCTCACTTGATGACGATTGCTTGTGTTGCGAGCGAAACATCATGATCTATTATTTTTCTACCTACGCGACTTTACTGAAAGAACCAGTATGGATTCCTGCAGTCACGAAAGCTTCAAATCAAGAAAGACAAACCACTCATGGAAATGTAGGGAAGCCCTCATAATTGAGTGTGGGGGGGGGGGGGGGGGGAATTTAAGCAGAATTTTAAATGCTTAAAAAGTGTCCCAGGTGAGATATGAATTAATTTCCATTTTTATCACTGGCAGTGAGAAAAGTATGTCGAGTCCTTTGGAAATATATTTGTTTGAAATGTCATCAGGACACAAACGAAATGGAAAATATAAATGTGCTAAACCCAAATTGGTGTGAATTGGAAGTGTGATGCCACCAAATGTTCCCAAAATAAAAATTCATCACAAATTATTGGCAGCAGAACAACAAGTAACGTCGCCAAAGCCTGATGACAAGCCATCTACAGGGTTTTCTCTTGGCATTTCAACAACATCCTCACTTGGGTAGCATTAACCAATTTAGTCATCTCTCAATTATTTGGGGTGGGAGGGGAAGGTTGATCCAGACATTAAAAACACTGATAATGGAAAATGAATGTAAATTAGGCGATAAAACATATTTATAGTTTACCTATGTAAAATGGGGGTGAAAACTGGCACAGCCAGTGGGGGGGGGGGGGGGGTGGTATGTGCCCCCCCCCCCCCAATGATCCGATAAAAATTTCTAATTTCGATCGGATCATTGGGGTTTATTAGTAATAAATCGGCATTTTGCGACCCCCACTGCCACTGTGTAACATATGATTACGTGCCAGGGACTCTGAGATGATAGGACAATAGTCTGAGTCCATAATTGGCAATAAGTAACGGAAAGCGGCTATAAGTGACTCACAAAATTGTGCGCAGTTGCGTAAACAGTACACGACTTCCCTGAAGGCATTCACCTTCAGCGAGCGCGATGCCGATCACACAACGCGGTTTAAATTCGACCCTCGATCGATGGCTGTGCCATCGCCGCACGAGTCGAATAAAAAGCAAGGGACAAGTCCTTACTTACTAACAACTCCTTACTTACTAACAACTCCTCTATCGTTTTTCATTGCTGGAGGGGTTGCCCCCCCTACCTGAAAATTCTGGCTCCACCATTGCGGGTGAAGACGAAGAATGGCATCTGTTTATTAAAGTTAAATTTTAGAATGATAAGCATAAATCAACTTGATTTTTATATTATTTTTATACTCGCAAGCCCAACCCCGAGGTTAGCTTCATCTAAACAGGCTTGGCTCAAAGTAGTTCAAGGCCAGTTGCTACCATAAGCTACATAAGCCTGGCTCTTCTATGCGTGACAAGAGTGCTTCTTTCAGAAACCAGGACCTGGATATAGTAGGATTCTGTATATGGTTAAATTTGCTAACATGTAATCCAATTTCATATGCCCAAGCTTGCAAATCAGATATGTCACAAGAGTTTATAGGCAGCATGCTTATAAAAATGTTGTATCATGTAATCAACCAACGCAAGAAGATTCAACAGAAATATGATCCCATGCCACTGGGCAGTGACTGTTATACAAGAGCATAATCCAATTCAACCGGGTGAAGTGTGCTTAACCATCATGAAACCAGATCCCAGGAGTCCACGACTGCGCAATAAAAAGATCATCAAGATTCCATAGGAACAAGCTTGCGATACAAAAGTGCTGTACAATTGTATGTGATAAGAGCAAGCTTGACAATTCAAATTACTCAATCCAATATGTAATCCCATTAACGACAATATTGCTGCACAAAACTGGGTTTGGATTCCATAGGGTGAAGCCTGCGGAAAAATAACGACACCTGACTCTATAGGGACGAGCCTGCATTCCCAAAATCACAATCCGACTACACGGGGAAGAAGACGCTTTCTTAACAATAATATGACGGGATTCCACTGTGGCCCGACGCATTCCGATTGCATAGGGATAGTCGTGCCAAACAAAAAGCAAATGCAACGCAATTCCATTCTCTGAGGCTTCCAGGGCACACTAATGCCGAGTCGACTGGTGGAGAAAGCGCTGGTGGTGGCGACAACGGGTGGCAGCAGTCACCGTTCTAAAGTTTTTTGTTTTTCCAATCCTCGTTTGTGCTGGCGGGCCAGACACTCACGGCGATGTGCCCATGACAATGTGCTCTTTGTGGTTCTTGAGCACGTGGTGCTGCTTCTCGGATGGCCGACGGAAGCCCTTGTGGCAGAACTGACAGCGGTGCGGGTAGGCCTTGGTATGGATGGATACGACGTGGCGCTTGAAGCCTGATGCGTCCATGGTGCTGTAGTCGCATAATTCGCACTGGTACACTTTCTTTCCTGTGTGCGACTTCATGTGCTTCTTCAGCTCGCTCTGCTGCTTGAAGCCCTTCTTGCAGCGGCGGCACTGCAGCGCCCACACCAGCGCCAGCGGGGGAGAAAGAGCGAGGAACAGAGGGGGCGGAGAGAGAGCGTATTAATCTTTAGTTATATAAGTTGTGGTGCTAATTCACCCTGAATCTTGATCATCATCAGCCATTCTTTATCATCCACTGTTGGATGAAAGCTTCCTCACATTAATGAAAATCCGCAGGGTCCATTGCGGCTATCACCAATCTCACTACTGCACACGAGCTGATCTTCTTGTGCCATCTAACCAAGTTTCTTTTCGTGGAATGAATATTTCTTTAAACAAACGTGTGCGCCCACTCTCTCGCGCATGCATGCATACGCACGAACACACGCACGTGCAGTGAATGTGGTGTTTGTTCACCTTGAAGGGCAGCTCCTTGGTGTGCACAGACAGAATGTGCCGACTCAGCACAAACGGGTCGGATGTGCGGAACTCGCAGTGTCGGCACTGATGAACCTTCTTGCCTTTGTGTGTTGCCATGTGCTTGTTCAGCTCGGAAGGTCTGAGTCCATGCACACACAAATACAAAACAAATGAACAACACTGTAATCCATCTGGTTAAGAACCCATTTTAGGTGAGCGATATGGCCCTGCAAGTTTATTTAATATGGCTCGCAGCCACATGAACAGCCTGCAAACTATATTTACATGTCACTGCAAGCATCTTAGCTGCATTTATCGAGTAGTGTCTACTGCAGCTAGAGAAGTGACTGAAAGGTGTGCGTGTTAACAGGTGGCCCGCCAAATGTAGTTTGCAAATTCTATTCGGCAGAATCATGCCTACGCATGCATTGTATAATGCTTTCGAACATATGTTTGCCCAAGGCAGTATTTAATTAGCAGTAAAGTAGCCAATGGGTAGCTGTCACAGAGCAAGCAAAATTTCCAAATAAAAAACGCCTGTAATGTTATTTATGGTTTATCTAAAAGTTGAGCAATACTTGGATCAATTTGGCCAGCAATAAATTAGGTAAGTTGCTATTTGCAACAAAACTTTATACTTTACAAACATTTCATGATCTTTAATCATTGCCTTGCCATCCCCTGCTCTAGACAGAGTTAACACTTCAACCCTTTAAATTGTATTTGCAAATTAAAGGGTTGAGGAGAAGAAAACTTCCACTTCTTTTAAAGAGCAGTCTCCCATACTGGTGGTGGTGGTCGGTGATAGATGTAATGATTGTAGTGGATGTTGTGGTGGCTGTAGCAATTATGGTGGAGGTGGTGATAATAATTGTGGTGGTGGCAGCAGTGGCAGCTATGGTGAGTGTGGTGGAGGTGGCGGTGCTGGTGACGGTGGTGGCGGTGTTGACGACAGTGGTGACGACAGTGGTGACGGCTAAAGTCGTGGTGATGATTGTGGGAGAGGTAGGGTTGATTGCAAGTGAGCGTGTTGGCAGCGTTTTCTGCGTTGTCTCACCTGTGGAATCCCTTCTCGCACACCTCGCATTTGTGCGGGAAGCTGCGCGTGTGGATGGAAATGACGTGGCGCTTGAGGTCGCTCGAGTTGGAACTGCGGTGCCCGCAGTACTGACACGCGTACACGCGCTCCGCGCTGTGCATGGCCGCATGCCGCCGCAGTTCGCCCAGCGCCGTGAAGCTAGCGCCGCAGTCGCCGCACGGGAAGGCGAGTGCGCGGCTGTGACGCGCGCGCACGTGCATCTTCAGGTTGTACGCCTCCGAGCTGCGGTAGTCGCAGTACTGACAGCAGTGCGGGCGCTCGCCCGTGTGCGTGCGCGCGTGCTTGCGCAGCTCCGACGGGTGCCGGAAGCCGCGCCCGCAGTCGGCGCACACGTGTGGCAGCGAGCGGCTGTGCACTGACGCCAAGTGCTGGCCGAGCAGTGCCGGCTCGGCCGTCTCGTACTCGCAGAACTTGCACTTATGCATCTTGGCCGGGCGGTTGCGGTGGACGAGGCGGTGAGAGCCCAGCGCCGCAGCCTTCTCGAAGCGCCGCCCACACTCCTCGCACTCGTAGGGACGGTCGCCCGCACACGCCGTGTGCACCAGCCCAGAGACTATGTGGGGATCAGGAGCAGGTGAGTGTGGGGCAGTAAGGGGTGGTGGAGAAGAACAACACAAAGTTAATATCTTGTTGTGATGGTTCACACTCTGGAATTATAATCATGATCCGTGACAAATCCACCGCTGGATGTAGGCTTCCCCAAGATGTCACCATCTTTCACAGTCCTGTGCTGTAACAATCCATCTAGCACCTTAACACAAGCTGATATTGTTTTATCTCCTTTTGGGCATGCTCCCTCCTTTGACTGCCACTCCAGTTATTTTTGACCACTGGCCATCATTCCTTGTAGCAATATGTCATGCCCAAGCCCACTTACTTTCTTAAAACTGAATATAACCTCTCATCCATATATTCCTCTTTATAACTCTCAAGAGCCACTATAGAGGGTATTTGGCCTACTCATCCAAACTGGCCAGACGTCATGGATGAGGTAGGAATACAGAATTTACACACCACGTGTATTCTGTTTATCAACTGTGGTTTATTGAGAGTTGCCGGGGGGTGGCGGCACACATCTGTAATCCAGCACTGTGGCGGCGAGAGTTGGTGGATGGGAAAAAATTAACCCGTAAAAACAAAGTTTTTCACTATAAATCCTTTATATGCGTGGCATCGGTTTTATTTTATTATTCATTTCTGTTTTTCTTGAGTAAGAGTTTCATTTTTATCATATTGATATTTTAAATTAAATATGAAATTTCTTTTTTTCCTATAAAGTGAAAAATTTTGGAAAAAAATTTTTTGGAAAAAAATTTTCACGAAAATAAATTGTCGTGCACAACGAGTCTGTGTGCAAAATGTCAGCTCGATTGGATCACGGGAAGTGGGTTAAAAAACGACCGAAAGATTTGCACGGTCGTAAGCGCGCAAGCAAGCAAGTGAACTTAATATAAAGGATTCAAAAATGACAATGTTGTGAGACTCCCTTCCCTTGCATCGAGGTGCAATAACCCTGGCTTGCCAGCAGAATGCAGTACAACAAAATATGGATTAGTCCATAATTTGTTATAATCTCTCCTTTCTGTATGGGATAATAGAGTGTTTCCCTTTTGCATGTGTGGGTTTTCATCCAGGTGCTCAAGTTTCTTCCCACATATGAACACTCACTAATTGGCTGTAAACATCTTCATACAATGAAAAAAACAAATGTTGGCACCGGCTCACCACCTGGGAGACTTCCAGCTTTTCTGCAGTTCCTCAGCAATTGTGAGATGCTATTTGACTGAACGACGCTGTATACTATTAATCATTCAATGTGAAAAACTGCTGGGTGATATAGAAACTTGGCCAATGTTTCAACTGCCATGTTGCGACACCAAACAGGCGATCTCTGGAGCACAAGTCGGTGTGCTAACCATTACACCACGACATTATCCCTGAGGCAATTAAGCACCCTACAAGATATACTTATACTGGTAGGAACCTCCTGATTACACCAGCCCACAGGGGATTATTGTGTCCGTCGTGCAGGGAGGGGCTGGGTGGGGAGGGGTGGGGGGTGGGAGGGGTGGGGCTGGGTGGGGGGTGTGAGGGGTGGGGCTGGGTGGGGGGTGTGAGGGGTGGGGCTGGGTGTGGAGGGGCTGGTCACCCCGTGGTGCCCTTATAAAACTCAACGTTTAACCTACTCACGCCGGCTTGTGCTCGCCCTCACAGTCGGGCATATTTTCGGAATACACCACGCCGCCGTTGACCCTGGCCATTGACCGAGCAACCCAAAGTTCCTACCAGCTCCCTCCGCAGGAATGTGTTCAAAGCCTTCAAGAGTGGCCGGTCTTTTGGAGACCCCTTCACAACGAGGGGCTGGAGGGCAAGCCACGCAGCTGTTGTGATATGATAGTACTGAAAGTACATTTGATATTCTCACCATTCTTATAGCACACGGTGCTATATATTTGACAGACGGGTAAAGACTGCCAGTAGGAGGTGATGTTGCCGTATGATTTCAGCGTGTTTAAGTCGTCCGTACCAGGTGTGGTGTTGGAGACGAGACGGTGGCTCTCGATGTGCGAGTGGAAGTGCGATTTCCTGCCCGTGGTGTAGTCGCAGTCTGTGCACTGGTAGCGCCGCTTGCTCACGGCGCCCAGGCCGCTGATACGGGCGCTGCCTGCGCCGACACCAGAGAAACGCGGAGGAGAGTGAGGTGTGAGAGAGGGCGAAGATCAGGAAAGCTGCACGAAAATGCAAGATGCTCCAATCATATAACTTATTACAATTAGAGCACATGACTAGAATGCATTGCCCAGAAGCAAGGGATTACATATCTTTACAATAATAATTCCCCAACAATGCATTGCAACTGAACACAAGGTAGGAGAAATTATGCCATCGGATGGATTATGTAATGCCTTCCAACATGGGGTTGCCTGTGAAAGTATTTATGGAAGCCAATGGGTAGCTGTCAGGGCAAAAAATATTTATTGTTTGCAAATGGTCCTTTTGCGCTTGGGCTTGTCTGCAAGTTTCTGTAAACCCTTTGATCAATTAGTCTGGTTTTCAATTGGGTAAATCCCTAATTGCAATACAACTTTACATTCATGTTGTTTATTTTGGATAATTTTTTCGAGAGTTATGGACACACGGATGGAGCTAATACACAAATGGTTTCAACCGTAGTTGTACAGAGAAATAAAATGGCTAGCTAATGTTCTGAGGTCAAATTAAAATTTGAGAACCAAGTTGACAGAGGTGCAAAGCAGGAATTTTAGATTTCACAATTACAATCTACTTGGCACATACATTCACTCCCATGAATTCAAAGAATTGTCAAAATATAGTAATGATTAAATTAAAGAAAAAATTATGTTTTCTCTACTTTTGCCATCCCATTTGTATTCTAGGTTAAGCAGATTTGTCCACTTCTGTTAGCCTAAACATTGTAGTTAAAATGATTCACCCCCACTGGCCCCCTAACGATTGTCAAGTTTGAGAGTTACAATTCCACGCAAGACTCAATAAACGTTTTTATAACACACTGCTGTGAATTGTGGTGCCTATAGTGGCATTTGGAGTGAAGGACGTGAACCTATTAAACACGGGTAAGTGGTGCAGCCCTTCAATTGTTTGCTCCCACCACCAATGGTGAACCGACTGGATATCCCCTCTAGAGCAGTGGTTCTTGACCTTCAATGCAGCCTTGCATGCCTTTGGTTGTCAATCATACAACAAATTAGAAAGGTAATAAATACATAGGTCTGATGAAATAACGTAGTTGTACTTACGTGTCCGTGCTTAATTTGTGTTTTCGATGATTTACCCTCTAAAAAAATGCGACATGTCTCACGCCCTTAGAAAGGGCATCTCGCACCCCCCCTAGGGGTGCGTACATCCCCAGGTTAAGGACCACTGCTCTAGACGGCGTTTGACTTGCACTTCCATGCTGGCCAGATATCTAGTAATAGGCGGGAAAAACCCATATTTTACCCCACCAAATGCAGCCTGCCCATCGACTGCAGCATTCCCATTTATACCTCTGGGTTAAAAGAGGCGGACAGATTTAAGAAATTTGCCCATTGTTTCTACTGCCGTGCTGGGAGATTGAACCAGTGTGCTAACCATGACACCATGGTAGCAGGAGGAAGAGTCAAAATAAGTCAACCGCCCAAAGCGAAGGACACGTCCGCAGCAAGCCTTTCTCGGTAAAGGACCGTGCAGCGCCATACCCTTGCTGCTGCCCCCGATGGCGGCCATGTTGCCGCCCCCCTCACCCTCAGGGTGGTTGTGCATGTGCTTCTTGAGGAATCCGCGTGTCTTGAACTTCTTCCCGCACACGCCACAGGGGTACACCTTCATGGGCAGCCCGTCCGGCCCGATGATTATCGCTGTGCGCACAGTGGTAGCAGCGGTGGCAACCATGAAAGGAAAACACAGAAACAAATCCGCAAGTAAAAAAACTGTCCCGTGTGGCCAGCTACCGCGAGAAATTCACAATCTGCAGGGCACGGCAGAGCTTTATGAATGTTTATTTTGTGTAATCGCACGTAAAATGTCAGAGGCGGTTTGAAGTGGTGAGCTGGGATATGAAGGACTGTAGAGTGGACTTGGCGATAGAATGAGTGGAAAAAGAGGACCAGGAAGGCTGATCTCCCACATGAAATGGGAACATGCCTTGAAGAAAAAAATACTTTGATAAATCACATTCTGCGATGTTTTTAAGAATTGTGTTGAGGCAAATTTATATTTTCGGGGTAAGATAAAACTAAAACACGGTAATGGAAAAGACAAGTAAATTAGGTTATAAAATGTACTAATCGTCGACCTATGTACAATGGGGGTGAAGGCATCAAATACTTTATCTATTGATATTGCTTCTTAAAGTGATCGATTTACTTCTTGAATATTTGCAGTCATGTGGGCACTGTGTCACTGACCCTTGATGAATGCAATGCAACTCACATTGACAATGGCATGTGCGTAACAATATAAATGTGTTTCTCAAGCATGGTTTAACATCCAATACCTCGATAATCCACTTATAGATAATTGTGAGATCACTGTAGAGGAGATATATCAGCGAACGGGATGAGCACCGGTCCATTTTGTGGTGGAGTCCCACTCCTGTTGTGGCACTCACCGGTGAAGGCGGGAGCCTTGGCCCGACTGCCCTTCCGGCGTGAGCGGGGCGGCTTCTCTCCGGAGTGGCGGCGTGGGGTGTGGCCCGCTAGGCCTCCGGGAGACGCGTCCGGTCCAACTTCCCCGTCCGTCTGCTCGTCCGTCTGGTCCGTTCCCTCCACCACATCTAGGTAGAGATGGGTTTTATTTATTTCAGCAGAAAGGGCCCAAATAAGCTGTTAAACTCTAAATCATGGGCAACCTGCAATGGTACAGATGTTTTACAGTACAGACCTTAGCCAAATGCACCAGTAAAAGTTTCATTCACCTCACAAGATAAAAATCCCCCGTATAGCCAAAACAGACTGCTGTAGCAAGTGCTGGTAGCAAGCACCTACCAAGGCCGGCACAGCACACGAGGGGGTGGGTGGCCTTCACCACGCCAGACTGCCTTTGTCCGCCTAGTGCCAATTTTTTATGTACACTGCACCAGGTACTCATTTGAGGCAAAGTCAACCTAGGGGAGGACCAGGACCAGTTCAGATAATCATCACTGGTGTTGGCCGTGAGCGGAAATCGAACTCGGATCGCTGAGTTCGTAGCGTAGCGCACTAACCACTATACCACCGTGCCCCTCACACACACAGAGGTCAGGTCGCACACCCGTGGGGTTGAAAGATGAGGGTTAACACACCTGCTGCTCCTCGCCATTAGTCCCAGTGGAGGCCATATTGCCACCACTTCTTCCTCCAGAGGTTAACAATTACCACTGCTGCTCCTCACAACTACTCCACCTCCTGATCATATATACACAATTTGTATTTACATAGCGCTTAAATGCTACAGCATCTCAACACAGTCAGTCATAGGCAGAGAGAAAAAAAAGGGAAGGTTCTGATCCTGGACTAATTAACCTAATATCAGTGTAGTGGACGTACCAAAAGCAGACGCCCAGGTCACAAAGTGCTTGTTGAGCCCAGACTCTTCCACTGTCGTCTCAGCAACACCAGCCGAGACTTCATCCTCTCCGACGATGACCTCCATGTAGACCTCATCCGCCATGTCTGCGACACAGAGGGGACGGTTTAGCGAGTGTAACAATATTGTCAACAGAATGCACGCATTGCTATTGGTGCCGAACCATTGCCTGAAATCTTCAAAATCGTTCGTGAGCGCAGCCAGAATAATTTGTGAATTTGGGCTTTAGTGCCTCAGAGAAATGGCACCAGATATGAACACCACCATCTCCAACAAGCACCTACTCAGTCTCATTGAAGACCCTCTGGGATTTAATTTACCTCACAAATTGTTGTCTTTAAACCTAATCTGTACGTCTCATGACATATTTGCCCGCACTACAACCTTCACAAATGGAAATTTGAAACATGGTTTATGATTGCGGAGACACCAAATAGATAATTGACATACTACTGAAAATGAAGTGAAGACATTTCCAGGTAACCCAAACTTGTCGTAGACATTTAAGTTACTCTCGGTTGAGGTAGCCAGATGGCTAAGAATATCAAGCGCGAAGCTGGAACAACTGAGGTCCTGGGATTGATTCTGGGAAGCTGCCTGTGATTCAACCAGGTTTTCAAAATGTCGGACAATGGTCTCCACCCGGTTGCCACATTCAATTTAACTCTGCACCAAATAAAAAATTAACCCGTAAAAACAACGTTTTTCACTATAAATCCTTTATATGCATGGCGGCTAGAGTCCTCTCGTCCTCTGGCTTGAGATGGCTGCCACCTATGGGTCAGATGATTGCCTGCCACCATTAAGCAATTGGTAATTAAATATAAAAAAAAATTCCTAAAAAGTGTAGTTATGGAAAAAAAATTAACGAAAATAAATTGTCATGCACAACGAGTCTGTGTGCAAAATGTCAGCTCGATTGGATCACGGGAAGTGGGTTAAAAAACGACCGAAAGACTTGCACGGTCGTAAGCACGCAAGCAAGCAAGTGAACTTAATATAAAGGATTTAAAAATATAAGCAGCTTTCAAAAGCAGTTCTTTGATATCCACTTCAAGAGATCCAAATGTGTTGTATAATGACATTGCACTGATACCACGATCAGACAAAAACCAGCAATTAAAAATAAAATTGCTATTTATCCAGCCATACGCAAGAGAGAATTATCCCCCGCATGACTATCAATCGTCCGGCACAAAAAATAAGTGCGTGCGGCCGATTGCGACCATCGCTTACTGATGGCTTCCTCTGTTTGCTCCAACACGGCCGTGTGAATAGGACCTCCTGCCACTCCAGTGGCCACACCTGCACACACACGTACACACACACAAAAAAACCTCCATGAGATATACAGACTAAATAACTAAGACAGCTAGCTCATTTCTCTGTACAGCTAAAGATATGGACAAATGAACTGGGTCATAACATGCTTATTGCTTCAAAAAGATAGCATACAAATTTGGCACCATGTACGCAAACGTTTAAATACACATGTACCATGCATGAAGCTCAACACATGTATTAAAAGGAGAATTAAAGGCGAAATGTCACCATTGCTTCCACTGATGGTTGTTATCGCCAAGTCACAGTGTCATGCTGGGCGCACTCTGCAGTGTGTGTCTTGCGTTTTGAAGGATGGATGCCTGGTGTCTGCCATTTGAAAAAAGGCCGGAGATTCGTTTTTTCTTCCTTAGAAAAACCGATTGAATCTATTTAATGGATTTACCACTTAAGCACTATTTGCAGTCAACAGGCCAATAGCCTTTATCGCCAGGCTATTATCGAGCCAAATTATTTAAAAAGTGGACAATTACAAATATTAAACTCCACTGCAAGGGTAGTCAGAGATCAGGTGGACAGCTGTTCAGAGTTACACAGCTCAGCCAGCCAGCTACACAGCCAGCCAGCTATCTAGTTAAGATAGCTGCCAGCTAGCTAGCGAAAACAAATCAGTCAGTTTTTGAACCAGGAGCAGAGAGCATTAGAGAATAACTGTCCAGGTAGGTAGCCATATGCACCTGTACACACGTGCATATATGACCAAGAAAGGTGCCCGTCACCCGCCCCATGACCGCGTGCCACCCACCCATCTCGCTGGCCGAGCCATCGGGCTTAAAGATGAACACCTTGATCACTTCTTCACATATAGGGCCCACTTCACTTGGCTCCTGGTGCGGTTCCTCCTCCACAAGGCGCAGGGAGCCACTCTGCCCTGCGATGCCACGCAGCAACGCCACATCAGCTGCGAGCCGGTTACGCCACGCACCAGTTATATAGCATGTCAATGAAATAACCATCTGCTGTATTCTTCAGATGAAAGGTAGTACATTTTACACAGTAATAAAAACATTTGTGGGTAGTGTCCTTGTTAATCCACTGCTGGATGAAGGCTTCCATAAACCATGCCCGTCATCGGGGTAGCTTGGCCATACTTCACTACGCTGGTCAGTACCAGATGGTGAAGGCATACACACGGGAACATAGAAGTACAGCACAACAATGTATTTTGCTCCACTGCGCATCTGCGGCCAATCACGCACGTGTGACGATTCTGCACAGCACGGAGATGCAAAGAGTTTTACACTGCTTTGCATACTCTCCAGTTTTTGAACCTCAGCAGCAAAAAAATTTGTATTTCTTAAAAAAATGTCTACGGTCAACCGATCACCCAAAAATAACCCTTTTTATGGGGTACACAATATATCCACTCACACTATTTAGATGTCGCAATACAATCGCAAGGTCTAGGCTTGGAAACAACAAACAAGTCAATGTTGCTGGTGTGCGCATGCCCCTCTACTCACCCACGTTCTCCTCAGTGCTGGAAGATCTCCGTGGGCAGCAGCAGCCCGGCAGCGGGCGTCAGCGCCGAGTCGATTGTGGAGGTGGCTGACGGCCGCTCACTTAGTGCTGTGCTCGGCTGCTCGTCCATCGGCTGGCTCGACAGCTTCACGGAGTGGCCCATCCCCTCTGCGTCTGCCACTGTCACTGTGTAGCAGCAGCTCTGTAGTCAACACGACGCCACGTACATGGGATCACACGTGTTTACACGGCATGGTGTCAGTCATGAGCGATGCGGCACGCAGGATGCAGAAATGGTAAGGGAGGCAATGGGGTTAAAGCAAGAGTGGGGAACCTATGGGCCATTTATAGCTGTATGGTCAGACAACTGGCTGGCAGCATAGCTGACCAGCTGAACAGCCTGCAGGCATCTTATCTGGCTGAGTGTATAGCAGAGTAACTGGGAGCTGCAGTTGATACAAATGCACAATTTCCTTAAATCCTCTTGCTTCTGCCCACCCAACAAGCAGTATAAATAGCTACACCACAGATATTTTATCGGCAGGTCACAAGTGGTGGGGTGAAGTGTGGGTACTCCCATTGATTCCATGATGCCTGATCAGTGTGGAAGTCTAGGCCAAAATAGCCTCGAGACAGGCTCTGTGGAAGTTTAACACGTAGGCTTTCGTGACCAGTATCATCCATAAGAGGTTTTTTGGGTTACATCGCGTAAATATATGTCGTTAAACGCGCCACCGCCAGGCACAGCCAACTAGTAAGGGTTGTCACGTAAACAGAACATGCCAATTTGTCACTAGTACAGCACACTGGTGTGTTGGAGAGCCAAGCCACAACATTTACAATCTTAGTACGATGTTTCGCCGGTAATTACAACTAGCTTCATCAGGCGACAGCCAAATTTGTGAAGTCCACCTGTTTCATTCCTTATATATAGAGACGAAAAAAGTGGATTCTATTATGGAGGCTCTGTGGAAGTTGCCTTTAGTTGAGAACCATGAAAATAACAGGCCTGCAACTTCGCCTTTATACGCCAGTCCTAATCACACCATGCGGATGGCGGTGTTCACCTGCGCCGTGGTGGATGCACGTGACGCTGGGACCTCCAGGTCAGCTTCTGACACCTGGATCTCTGGCAGCACTTCTTCCGACATCACTTCCTGTGCCGTAAGGACCACTTCCTGGGTTGCAACCCCACTGTCGATCTCCTCCTCCTCAACCTCCTGTGGACCCAGAGCCACTTCGTGTACAGAGACCTCCATCATCTGCAGGGTGGCGGGGCGGGTTTGGGGAGAGGGGGACCCCGTGGTGATGAGTAGAAGTTCAAGGTGGGGCGTTAGATATGTAACAACGTGGCTGAGAGATCAACGTGCTGACGGGACACTGCTGAGATCCTGGGTTTGAATCGAGGCAGTTGTTCGGGAATAAACCAGTCCTTAAATTGTACTGAGTTGAAGTCGCGCATGGAAAAAACTGAGATACCTCCGAAATCTCTTCTAGTGACCTGGTTGACAGTATTTCGGCACCAACTCATCATGAGAGCATTGTTCACCGCAAGACAGCCCAAGTAATATTCAAAATTCTCAAGAGTATATACCCAGACTAACTGCAAAGCCACATTTTCTGTGATTGTGTTGTTTATGCACTGGTGACCAGATTGAGCCCATAAACTCACTACATTTAACCCGGTTTAATCACAGATGGCTTAAACCTTGATTAGAATCCAGGTTTCTCAGCATAAACGGCTTAGTGTTATGCCCTATGAGGCACCCAGCCTCCTCAAGAATGAATGGCCCACCAACCGCTTGACCTCGCAATGCAACCACTTCACCTGCTCATCATCGGCGAGGTCGATATGGAGCGCTGTCTCGTGGGCCTGAACCTCCTCGGTTGATAGCATCACCTCCTCCTCATCCTCCTCCACGCCCACCTCCACCATCTCCACGGTGGTGGTCTCCTCCTCCTCAGCAGCAGAAACCGGCACGAGACTCACGCCGTGCTCTGAGTCGCTGCAACCCGCGGCGCTGGACACGGCGCGAACCCTCACCGCATCCTCGCTCGCCACCACCGGCGGTGCGGGGGCCATGGGCAGCAGCACAGGTGTCGGCTCCTCCACCACCGCCAACTCCATCTCAGCCAGTGGTTGCGATGTCACCGCCACCAGCCCCGAAGACTGTGGAGATTCACGGCACACAACCACACGAGGCCGGTCCGTCACTTGCCAACATAGAGCTTTTTTTAATCTTCCGAGTTAGGGAGATTGGCGTTCAGGCACCATGCATGTTCATAACGGCAATCCGCATCACTGCAAAACTCCAATCCTTCAATGGCCTCCAACATTGCCCTCATAGTTTTTCAGATCCTCTGTGGACTAACCCCTGTCCATCTCTATCGTCCACTCTACTCCCCTCCAGTGACAAAACAATAATTTAATTTCACTTGATGGAATGGCAATCCTTCCCTGTTTAGAATTCCTTACTCTGGTTTTCCACACTCGACTAAAATCTCTCAAATATGGACTTCAGCAAGCCATAATTTGAGCCAGAAAGGCTGCCTGAAAAGATATTAGTAAATAAAATAGCAATATAACCAAAAATAAATTACAACTGGAACACTGCTCGTGCATTAAGCTGCACGCGGTAGGATGAGGCCTTCTGCAGTGAAATTGTCTGCATAAGTCTACATCGTGGTCAAGTTCATGTGCAGAGAATTCAAATGCGCTTGTCAGCACTATGGAACTATAAGATGCTATCCTTGACCACTGAAACAATTTCAACCAATTATAAAGCTAGATACTACGTGAAATTCGGTTAACCTGTACCCTTAACTGCCTCAGTGATCCACATGCTCTGGCAGCGTGCTCTCTTTTCTTAAATTTATTAAAAAATAAACGAGATTAATAATTATTAAAAGCCCATCAGAAAATCCAAATCAACCTTTGACATTCAGTGAAATTCAGGCTTGCACTTCTCCTTCATGACTCAGATTAAACTGTACAGCAGTGATTTTATTCAGTGTTATTAAACTTTCCACACTCAATTCTAATAATTGTTATGAAGGATTAATTGCATGTGTCAGGTGTTAATTATATAAAAATGTTATTGAAAGTATATATTATCTATTTCTTTGCAGCATTCCTGGCATGCCACATAACCAGAAAAGTTCTCCACCGGACGAGTCCGGCTTCGAATGTTTTGACTGTAGACACTTGCCGTGTTCAAACCCAGGTTCAAGACTTTCCTAAATTCTTCTGCCTTTGACTGTCTCTATCTCTCTATGAAGTGTCTTTATTTGTCGTCTCTGTCACCATCAGCATTTATTCCCAAATTGCAATGACCGTGGGGGCGCCACTTATGTCTCTTCTTTTACTCTGTTGATGCACTTATCTCCATGTCTTATAGTGTTCAAACATGGGTTAGCATTAATATGCTTTGTGACTACAGATTATATTGCTATCAAACCAGTGACAATTTTCTCCCCTTATGATTTGATGAATTTGTATGATTTGGGGTCACAATTCGATGATCAACTATGTTTGTTCACACGGTGATGCACCGTAGAACCTCTCACGGCTATAGGGGTTAGCTAATAAAATATACCATACGCACATATTAAAACGAATCAGATGTCACACGCGCAATTCGACTGGATGCATATATAGGGAGGATAATCTTTTTTTTATCTTCCCCCCCCCACATTGTCATGCCATCCGTGTTACAAGTGTCATGTCATGAGATGAATGATCTATTCTGAACTTTTAAAAAAGTGCAACCTTTGAGAGATAACAGCCCAAGCAAGTGGATTCCACAGAGTTACCTTTGAGATCTGTTCAAGTGACTTCTAAACCACGCAGCAGGGAGCATCACTTTCCACACTGACATCTGGGCCAACCGGCCACTTTTCGTGAAAATTAATTATTTTTACGAAAGAATTGGGGCGTTGTCACACTCCCAACAGCCACTACTTCGTCCACGACACCGCTGCTCCCTGCCGATCCCACCTCCTCCACGACCATCTGCACCATGTTCCCCATGTCTGTGCACACAGACTCCTCATCCACCTCCTCCTGCTCGATGGTGCCAATGGTGTCTATGACATCGTCCTGTGCCAAGAGCTCATGGTCATCGCCGACCTCCACCACCATGTCCGAGCTCTCCACGGTGATCGTCACATCCGACACGATCTGCTCCGTCTCCACGTCCACCGTGTCGCCTCCGAGCGGCACCGCCTCCTCCACTGTCACCTCCAACTCCACCGTCTCCGTGGCATCTACTTCTTCATCCACCACCTCTTCGTGCACCACCCCGTGCACCACCTCCTCGTGCACCAACTCCTCGTCCACCCCACCCTCGTCCACCTCACCCTCGTTCACCGCATCCTCATGCACCACACCCTCGTCTACCGCACTCTCGTCCACCGCACTCTCGTCCACCACACCCTCGTCCACCTCACCCACGTCCACCGCACTCTCTACCACCTCACCCTCGTTCACCGCACCCTCGTTCACCGCATCCTCGTTCACCGCCCCCATGTCCACCGCACCCTCGTGCATCACACCCTCGTCCACCACACACTCGTCCACCACACCCTCGTCCACCACACTCTCTACCACCTCACCCTCGTCCACCACACCCATGTCCACCGCACCTTCGTCCACCCCACCCTCGTCCACCTCACCCTCGTTCACCGCCCCCATGTCCACCGCACCCTCGTGCATCACACCAATGTCCACCTCACCCTCGTTCACCGCCCCCATGTCCACCTCACTCTCTACCACCTCACCCTCGTTCACCACACCCTCGTTCACCGCACCCTCGTCCCCCGCATCCTCGTGTACCACACCCACGTCCAACATCCCCTCGTGAACCACCCCCTCGTCCACGAGGCTCTCGGGCAGGGCGGCACCAACACCAGAATGTTCCAGAGCGATGTCGCACGGTGGTTCCATTGTCGTCGCCGCCGCCGCCATCATGGGATCGTCCGTTTGTTCCGAAGCCGGCGGTGCCAGGGCCCCGGGCGTGGGGCTGCCACCAGTGCCCACCTCGGCTGACCTGGCGCTCGGGACGCCACCCAGCTCAGACTCAAGCAACACGTCGTCCGGTTTGTCGCACTCGGGGACATCGCTTTGGATGATCTCGGCCGGAACTTCCAAAAGCAATGTCTTGTGGGTAATATCATCCACAGCCTGTGACATTACGCCGGGGTCCTCAAAGGAAAGACCCTGTAACCCACGGGTGTCCGCAACAAAAATGCCTGTGACAGAGACGTTTGAAAAATAGTTAATAAATTAACTGGCGTGTTGCAAAGCAATCCTTTGCATTTTAAATTAAATGTGGTGTTTTTATATAATCTTTAGCAACAACAAAAAGTTCACAACAGCTATTATTTTATGTTTTATAACATTAAATTTGCATTACATATAATTATAAATTGTATATATGCTTATAAAACATGTTATACTGTCTTCAATATTACCAACTTTTAAATGAAATCCCATTATTATTTCTATTTTTAGATAAATACCTGAAGGAATGCTGTTACAAATACAATGTTAAATGAGTTTATTCAATAAGTTATATTTTTTGAAATCATGTTACAGTATTGACATAGCAGACAATTGCTACGCAGTCACTCTGATCAAATATTCTCCCCCCCCCCCCCCCATGCTTTCTGATGCAAGCCGTAGTCTTTTGGTTGGTTTTTAAACAATGATTTGACCAATGCTCTCAGTCTCATGACTGTCAAACCACCTTCCAAGCAGAGCTTTGAGGCTCACACAGATGGATTTACAAATCGGCTAGGTCTGGGTTGTGCACCATCTGTTCCACAACATCCTATCCAAGCTTTCATAAACATTCCGCCGTCAAACATTTCAATATATGTCAAATGTATTTACACCATCTGGGGCCTCAAATAAAAACAAATAACAGCTTACTGTTCTTTTGATTTGCAGTTGTGCAAAGGTGCTATCATTTTTGATCGCATGATACACCTGCCATCTCGTGGCAAAGTCTGGAGAGAGAAAAAAATACTGGCAGGTTACTGAATTACTAAAATGCTTTCCACTTTTTCAAAGATTGTTAAACTAAATGTCAAATTACAGCTTTTTTTGTCTGATAAAAGTAGCACACAAAGGCACACTTGTGAGTGTATGTCAGCAGAACTTTAAAGTCAATGAAAGCTGACAGCATGTTTTGCAATTCTCTGGAGAAATTGCCAGGGAGCTGTAGCAATAAATGAAACATTAACCACTACACGAAAATTGAGCAAATCTATTGCGTAACAATGTTGTCCTATTCAGTGTCATGCTTATGGCCAAATACCCGGAACTCTATTATTGTTATAAACGGGTGATGAGCACGGCCTCGGTGCTCATGTGAGCATAAAAACACTTAAAATAATTCGTATCGTTTTCATTATGCAAAGGACCCCCCGCCCCGTCTATTGTGGTCTCTGCTCTGGAGGTTACTAAGCCCCGGATTTTGGCTACACGGAGGCGCACGCACTCACGCGATAGCAAATGCAAAACCACGTCTTCAGCCTCAGCCCAACAATGAAATACGCGGTTGCCGTAGGCTTATTGAGTGAGGCATGAGCACCACACGAGAAAGAACTGGGGAGGATTGGTGGGAGTGGGGTATCAAGGGGGTAGGGCTTGGTGAAATGCTGGGGAGTGGTGGTGGGGGACAGGGCACACGGGGGGGGGGCAAGGCGGTGGGAGCATGACACACACAAACTGGCGCGCGAACATACATAAACATGCATCTATAGTACTAGATGGTTGCTATAAATTTCCACTTGGTAAGTCATTTCGTTGACCTATCATGTGGGCCAGGTAGGCTTTTGAAAAATAGCTATATATGTCAATGGGCTTTATCTGGTAAAATAAAAAAATAGTTTCGTTTTAGTTATATGTGATTACACAAAGGCAGGAATATTACCTAAATACACTCATAGGTAGATATACACTGACAAAGATTTACACGTCGTACTGTCTTGTGCACTCACTCACGCACACTCATACTGACACACTGTACACACTAGCATATCGACACGCACTCTCACCCACTACTTGCACTCTCACACTTACTCGCATACTCTCACGTACTTGCATACTCTACGTACTCGCATACTCTCACGTACTCGCATACTCACACACGTACTTGCACACTCTCACTAACCACCACACTAGCACACCCCTAACATCTCGTACCGAACACCCACACACACCAACATATTTACATACACTTGTACACACACACACACACTTTTTCTAAAACACAACCACAACCGCACACACCTCCCCCACGCAATCTATCAACTCATTCACACACTCACCAAATCTCATGCACACCCCACCCCACTTGCTATCATCTCAATGCACTCCTCACGCACACCAAAAACCACCCTCACTCGCACACCCCCCCCCCACCCACCCACTCTGCCGTCACGGCCTCGGCCTGTGCCGCAGGGTTGTCTAGGCGAGCCGAGGCCTGCTCGGGCCCAGCTCGGGCCCTGCCGCCGCCGCGGGCGGTGGAAGGCGGCCGAGGGCCACGCGCAGCCTCCCCCCCCCCCAGGGCCGCCTCGCTCCCGCTCAAACCCTTAGAGCCACACGTTCCGCTCTTTTCAACGACCGCCACCTTCGCTATCTCCCCTTCTCGTGTAATTCTCGTCGTCTCCCCGCGCGCTCGGCGAGTGGTGAGCGAGGCGGGCGAGAGGCCGAGCGAGGCGGGCGGAGGCGGCGGCGGCGGGAGGAAGGCGCCTCAGGCTTTTTTGTGTCGCGCGCGTCGCGACGGGGCTCCCGACTTCCCCGCTCGCGCGGCCCCGCGGCACCCGCGCCTGGGATTCCGAGCGGCCGCGGCGACGCGGAGCGAGCGAGAGGCGCCTTACCTGGGGGTGAGAAGCGCCGATTTTTTTCCCGCTCTTGACTCGGGCTTCGCGGCCCAAGGGGAAAGGCGGCAATAATGGCGGAATGCGGGCCAGGCCTAAGATGGCGGGCGAACACGGGAGGGGGAGGAGAGGCAGGCAGGCCGTGCGTCGTGACGTCACGACGCACGCGAGGGACGGGGCGCGATGACGTCATTTCGTCGAATCGCGACGTTCGCGTGTGCGTGGTGACGTCACCGCGCCGCGGTAAGCGTAGGCGGGGCGGGGGGGAAGCGCGTCGGGATTTTCGCGAGGGTAGCGTGGTGACGTCACCGTCGGACCCGCGCGCGGCGTGGTGACGTCACGGAACGGCGTGGTGGCGTCACATTGCAGCGGGAATGCGCGGTGACGTCACTGGGGAAAAAGAGGCGTTGGGAGGGTGACGTCACGCCGAGGCTGTTTCGGTTAAAGCTGCGACCCAACGTCCCCGCGGGATTCGATTCAAAAAAAGATTTTTAAAAATGTTGTTGGGTCGAATGTAGCGCCTCCCAGCGGCTGCAGACAACGTCGCGCCGATTTTAACAACGAACTCTCAACACTCGTCGATGAACAACCGATCCTTAAAATGAAAGTTATGTAGCGGGCAACAATAAAACATGGCCCGTCTTCATAGCACGTGGACATTATTTGATGTCGGATCTCGGAAGGTTTGGCCAGATTTGGAGCCGGTTTGTATAACGTGCTGTGTATATCCCCCCCCCCAACCACGTACACGAAAGTTGCACCCGATTCAAGAGCCGAATGGCTCACAGGGCTTTACCAAATAAATGAAACTGAAACTGATGTACACGTGCACAGCCCTTTTTGTCAATCCACTGCTGGATGAAGCCCCCCCCCCCCCCCCATCTCTAAAGGTGTTGTGAATCGTGGGAGGCTAGTTAACCATGCTGGTTAGTGATGGTGAAGCGTGGGGAGCATAGGCATTGGAGGATAGTTATGTATATTGCAATACAGTTCGTTGTAATTTATGTTGTCGATATATTATATCGAGGGGATGTATCACGCAATCCACACCCAGAGGTCACCGACCTACTTGCTGTGCTGCCGCCTATTTACTCAGCTTGTGGCTCTACAGGCTGCCCGTTGCGTTTAATCGTCCTAGAAGGAAAAGTAAAGCGATTAACCATCATTGACACTTTATTTTTTATTAAATCCTTTATATTAAGTTCGCTTGCTTGCGTGCTTGCTTGCTTGCTTACGACCTTGCAAATCTTTCGGTCGTTTTTTAACCCACTTCCCGTGATCCAATCGAGCTGACATTTTGCACACAGACTCGTTGTGCGAGACAATTAATGTTCGTGAAAATTATTTTCCAAAATTTTACACTGTTTAGGGAAAACAAATTAAATATTTAATTACCAATTGCTTAATACTGCAGACAATCATCTGACCCATAGGTGGCAGCCATCTCAAGCCAGAGGACGAGAGGACTCTAGGCGCCACGCATATAAAGGATTTATAGTGAAAAACTTAGTTTTTACGGGTTAATTTTTTTAATCCTTTATATTAAGTTCACTTGCTTGCTTGCTTGCGCGCTTACGACCGTGCAAATCTTTTGGTTGTTTTTTAACCCACTTCCCGTGATCCAATCGAGCTGACATTTTGCACACAGACTCGTTGTGCGTGACAATTTATTTTCGTGAAAAAAATGTTCCAAAATGTTCCACTTTTTAGGGAAATTTTTTTTTCATATTAAATTTTTAGAAATTTTTTTTTCATATTTTATTTAAAATACCAATGTGATAAAAATAAAACTCTTACTCAAGAAAAACAGAAATGAATAATACAATAAAACCGATGCCACGCATATAAAGGATTTATAGTGAAAAACTTTGTTTTTACGGGTTATTTTTTTTTTACATTTGAATTAAAAGCGAGTGGTTCCGACCACGCGTAAGTTCGCTCCCAACTTTACGATGCTTCATAGTCTTAACTGCCCCTGTGGATTTGGAGTTGAGACGAACCTTTTGATTGTGCAATTTATAGAATTGCTCAAGTAGTTCTGCACTCGGGCCAACCCCCTTTTTTGGGAAAGATACCGTATACTTTTTTCGATTTAAAGCTTTCGTGACTGCAAGGATTCATCTTCTTGGTTCTTTCGGTAAAGTCACGTAGAAGGGAAATAATAAAAGTAAGCTACTTTATTATTTTTATTATTGTATTATTTCCCTTCTACGTGACTTTACCGAAAGAACCAAGAAGATGAATACCGTATACTCTTTGGTTATTTCGGTAATGTCACGTAGGTAGAAAAATAAAACAAAATAAAAAAATTGAAATAGAACAATCAAACATCGAACAATTGTTAAGTTAAATAAATTAAACAATTCCAATAATAAAGTAACATGACTTTTCAAATCGCAAAAAATCGCAGCCTTTGCGATTTGCTAATCGCATTGTTTTAAATTGCGATTTCGATTTGAAATCCATTAATCAGCCCTACTGTCAACCCCTTATCAATGCCTGCCTTATTGCAGACCAATTCAGACCTCATTGGTCACCTCGTGCCCTTATAAATCTCAACTTTCATCCTACAAAGTCCCAACACAAATCGACAAGCACATTTTTGCCCGTGTTGAAACGGCCGTGTGGACCTGTACAAGAACACGTGGGTTGACAGTACTGCGTTATATGCACCTTGCCCCACCACCACCCCCCACCACCCCCAACACACCCCCCCACCACCACCCCCCACCACCCCCCCACGACCACCCCACCACCACCCCCCCCACCACCACTCCCCACCCCCCACCACTCCCCCACCCGCACCGCCCACCACCCCCCACCACCACCTCCCACCACCACCTCCCACCACCACCCCCCACCACCCCCCACGACCACCCCACCACCACCCCCCCACCACCCCCCACCACCACCCCCCACCACCACCACCCCCATTCACCACCACCCCCCACCACCACCCCCCACCACCACCACCAGCACCCCCCACCCGCACCGCCCACCACCCCCCACCACCCCCCACCACCACCCCCAACACACACCCCCACCACCCCCCACCACCACCACCAGCACCCCCCACCCGCACCGCCCACCACCCCCCACCACCCCCCACCAACCCCCACCACCACCCCCCACCACCACCCCCCACCACCACCACCCCCCACCCGCACCGCCCACCACCTCCCACCCCACCACCCCCCACCACCCCCCACCCACCACCACCACCCCCCACCACCCCCAACCCCACCCACCACCACCCCCCCACCACCCCCCCACCCTCACTCACCCCACCCCCGACACCCCCCACCACCACCACCCCACCACCCCCACCCCCCACCCCCCACCCCACCACCACCCCCACCCCCACCCCCCACCCCACCACCACCCCCCACCCCACCACCCTCCACCCTTCACCACCCCGCCACCCCCCACCACCCCCATCCACCACCACCCCCCACCCTCACTCACCCCCCATCCACCACCACCCCACCACCACCCCCCCCACCACCTCCATCCACCACCACCCCCCACCCTCACTCACCCCACCCCCCACACCCCCCATCCACCACCCCCCCACCACCACCACCCCCCACCCCCCCCACCACCCCCCACCCCACCACCCCCATCCACCACCACCCCCCACCCCCACCACACCCCACCCCCCACCACCCCACCCCCCCACCACCCCACCCCCCACCACCACCACCACCCCCACCACCACCCCCACCACGTGAAGGGGAAGTCGAGGGCTGCACCGGTCGCGGGGCACGCCGGGATTCCGGGTCGACGCAGGAGGCTCCGCTGGGCCACGTTGCGCTCAAATCACCGATGGCATCGGTCGTAGTCGCGCGGTTTGTCTGAAGCAACAACGAAAGGTTGCCGCCTTGATAACTCCAAGTCGCATCATTACCAATCGCACGCTTGAGGTAAAACGTCTTTAACATTTATTATAAACTGCGGTGTTTGTTTATTTGCCAGACTTAAGTCTGGACTCCGTGTTAAGGCCCTCCCGTGTTAGAATTACAACACCGCCCCCCCCCCCCCAAGTGGGGTTTTACAACAGCAAAACCATTTAAATGTTTAATTTGTAAATGTGTACACGACAGCTGCGTGTTGTGTGTGACACGTCTTGAGGGGGGGCAACTGTACCGCAGTCGTGGTGTCTCTAACATGGCGGGAGATGGTTTCGTGACAATTACAGGCCCCGGACATCGAAACTTGAGGAAATTAACCTCGATAACTCCTTAGTTTAGTGCCGATAAACACGAGTTTTATTCCAGGCCACGGCTCGCAGCTGTGGCGAGTGATCATATCTGACGTTCTGAACCGGGGCCTTTGCTAAGCCCCACTCCCACAACGCGCCATTGACCAGCGTGGTGAAGTATGGTTAAACACCCCCCCCCCCCGCCCACGTGTGTATGTTACCGTATGTACGTGGGGGGAGCGGCCACCAACACCGCCAAACGTGACGATCATTGTCTGAACACGGTCGTGAGGTCTTCCCCTAGGTCGACTCGGCCTCAAATGGGTGCCTGGTTGAGGTGTGTTAGCATCGCCACTGGGGAGACAAAGGCGGCCGGGCGTGGGGGTGACCCCTTTGTGTGACTTTCTGGCCTAAATAGGTGCTACTCGCTAACAGCACTTGCCCCAGCAGCCTGTTAAGGCTACACGAGAGAGGGGGATCTTTGTTTTACTAGATGTTGAACTTCTTTCGCACCGTACGTAGCCAACCGCGTTAATCGGACAGCAAACTAAACGCAAAAGCAATTCTAAAGAAATGTTTTTTTTTTGCAGACTTGGGGGAGGCCTTCATCCAGCAGTGGATTGACTTATCGGTCTCTCAGACGCATTAAATCAGCCGCAAGTCTGACCTTAATTACATCTTTAATTGAAGCACACCTGCACTACATTAAACAGTGGATGTGTTTGCCTAGGTGTGATATTCACTCACAATACAGGGTTTTTTGGGGGTTTAGATCGTGTAAATTACGACACGTATACAAACGTTTTGTACTTGCCAAACGTTTGTATACGCGCCATCGTTTACTGAGCACGTGTGAATTCACACCCCTTTGGACACCCGCGCAAACGAGATGTTCCATCGGAAGGGATTTATCCAGGCGAAATACGTGAAGACAATGATGTTCACGTTAGTTTTTACACTGAACAGCACGTGTTTCCCATCTCTTCCTGCAGCGTGGAAAGCCACCCCCCCCCCTTCGTATGCCCGTTGCCTGCCTTCGTAGGTGCTCAGTTTAGCACGTAGGCTTTCGCGACCAATATTATTCATAGTAAAGTTTTTGGGTTGGATCGCGTTATTTATAAATGTGTCGTAACCCTCCACCACCCGATACGGCCAATCAGTAAGAAAGTGTCACGTTGACAAAAGACAAATAGTTCACTACTTTAGCCCACCGGCAATTCGCCCGATGATGCTGGATGCAATTACCAGCGAAACGTCGTACAACTCAAAAATTGTAAATGTTGTGGTTTCACTCTTCAACACACCGGTGGGCTAAAGTAGTGCACTATTTGTCTTTTGTCAACGTGACACTTTTTTGCTGATTGGCCGTGTCGGGTGGTGGAGGGTTACGACACATTTATAAATAACGCGATCTAACCCAAAAACTTTATTATGAACTTCGTAGGTGCTACTCACGAACAGCACTTGCCCTCAAACGTCTGTTAAGGGGGCATCCATTTAGTAGGTACGCAAAAATCTGTCAAACCTGACCCCTCCCTGTACGCACGCGTACTTTTTACACCCCCCCTCCCCGAATCCTATAGAACGGCCGATATTTAATCCACACAGAAACGATCAAGGATTAATAATATTCACGTGTTTAAGCAAACAGTCCACCGCCGGACTATCTAACTCATTTGAAGGCCAATGTAGACAAATTATTATCGAGGCTTCACTCCCCTCCCCCCCGTTTCCTATGCGTACATTGTCAGTAGACTCCCCCATACGCAATTTTACGCATTTGAGTTAACCCCCCCAGCCCCCCTCCGCCCCCCTCCATGCGTACGTACTAAATGGATGTCACCTAAGGCTACACGGACATGGTCTTTGTCTTCCTTGGGTCAGCCGTGGTAGTCATCATGGACCAGGCGCAGCTGCAGCGCTGCGTGGAGCACCATGGTCCCACGCTGCTCGCGATGCTCCAGGCGGAGCAGGATGAGAACCTGGATGTCGCTGCGATCACTGCCCCCGAGGCCCGGTGAGCTTCCACGTGCCTGTCTGCCCCGTCTATCGATAGTTTGACATTTTAATGTGCAATTTTATTGAGGGGATTTGTTGTCTGGGACTGTTTTTGCTGTTGTTGTTTTGCTGCCTTGCCCCAAGCCTGCGTTTAGTGTCGATAAATCGGAAGGAATTAATGTACCTACGCAAGTAATTTATTTTCCGTGACTTGCTTACCTTTTCTATAATTTACACACTCCTATCGTTTTTAATAGGTTTTGTAAGTTGCTGACCCGACCCCTACTGGGCATCTGTGAATAAGAGCTTCATACCTCATCAGATTCCTTCTCTAGTCTAAATAAACATTTTGATTCTGAATGACTACCTACCAACTCAGTCACTCACCCACTCGCCCTACTTCCCGTTTGACTGTCCACTCCACCGTTTGCCTGTTTAAATGCCCCCCACACCCATTCACCCACCTCTCTTGTTGGTCTGCCTGTCCCTGCCTACACACCCAACCACTTACCTGTTTGTCTATCTACTCACCATTCCAGCTACCTGCCTGCCTGTTTACCTGTATATCCAGCCCCAAATCTCCTACTGCTACCATCCATCTGCCTGTCTACCCACTTACCCGTCCATCCACTCACCTACTCAACCACTAACCTTTCCAACAACACACCAACTCACCCGCCCACTACACACCCACCCGCTCTTCCACTACACACCTATCCATTAACCTGTCTGCCCACGTACCTGCCCACCCACTCCCCTGTCACTCACCCACTGGGGAGCCAAAGTCCGCCAGGCGTGGATGATGCTGCCCACACCATCCCCTTGTGTGCCATGCCAACCTTTGTAGTTGCTCGCTAACAGCAACAGTCTTTGCTTGCTAGATGGGGGATCTTTGTCTTATCTTGTGTGTTTGTACTTGTCCATCAGACTGAGTTCCCCTCCGGACTCCCTGAGCCTCCGCATTCAGCACTTCATAGCTAAGAAAGCCGACCTGCTCTTCGCCAAAGGGTGGAAGTCCCGCGAAGGGAGCGGTCTTACGCGCCAGGATGAGAGGAGAGGTACGACCAGGCTGTCATCCGTCTGTGCACTAATTGAGCGAATCACCCTCAACACAACAGGACCGCAGCCGTTTCACTTTGAACCATTTCTCAACACAACACGAACCATAGTCGTACTGTGCATGCACATGTCATCGTATCATTACCAAGGGCAAATCAGTTTCCAGTATAGGCAATGGCATTGCAACAGGGTAATGGGACCCTGGGTTTTATAAAAAATTGAGTTTTGCCTGATGTCAGGCATTTTGCTACAAGTGCTGGGAACATGCGTTTTTTCGCATTGCACTGCGGGTTGTTTGGCATGATGTGCGACATTAAGCTCCACAACCTTCCAGCTAGTGGAGGGAAGTGTTGGACATGTTGAACGACACGTGATACAACCCAAAACAATATTGAGAGTTAATGTGAATAGATTCTTACACTCACACTGAACAGCACAACTGCAAAAACCTACGGAGTTAGTATTATTTTTATCGACGTGTCACGGCACGTGCCTAATCTTCGACCGACTTGCACATTTCCGTGTGCAGAGTATGTGGCGGTGCCGCCGCCGCTGGAGCAGCTGATGTGCGTGCGGAGCGGGGTGGCGCGCGCCCAGTTCTTCTCCGACGTGGAGCCGCAGGACCTGCTCATCGGCCGCGTCACCGCCGTCAAAGAGTTTGGCTTTTTCGTGAACCTTGTGTGCTTCGACTGCGGAAAGACACGTGACATCGAGCAACTCAACATCACGGTGACTGCCCTCACTGGCTGCCTCCTCCATGCTCAGAGCTATCCCCAGGCTGCCCTCACTACTGCTGCCATCGTAGCTGCCCTGCCCTTATCGGATCTGGATCGCACGTACGCGAGCGATGGTTTTAACCGTTTCCCATTCCGATGCTATACGCGTACGTCATGAGTTTTCTTCTAAAATAACTTATCAGTACCGAGGCTCCCCCCCCCCCAACCCATGTGGGAGGGTGTTTGGCACAGTTTGGCGACAGCTATCATAGAGTGCGATTGTGTCGCTACAGTTTTCTGCGGTGAGTAAAATGTCTTTAAAACAACTGCGCTATGCCTCTCCGAATAAAAATAACGCTAACCGTTTGCGCGGTCTGAGATTCAGTGGTGAACGGACCCACCCTGTAACTTGCACATGTCTCGGAATGGGAAAGGGTTAATTTCCAGCCATAAGTTGATAAAAAAAAGATAGAAACATTTTCTGTGTGCTGAGGATTCTGGGATTTTGTGGCAGGATAGGGTAAGATGATGGGATATTGTAAGAGCAAACTTTGGGAGGTGAAGTGTCAAACCATATGATGGTTGCATTATCTAGCAGAAGAAATTAAGTTACGGAGATGTATAGTGGCATCGGCTGTAATGACTTCCTCTACTTAATACACAATCATTTGCTTGATGCACAGTCAAATGCATTCCAAAAGAAGGAACAATTTGTTCCAAAAGAAGGGGCCCTGTCACATTTGTTTTATTAAACAAGGTACAATGTGTTCTTGAAATACTGCATTCGTTTTCTTTAAGGGGTATGGTGTACTTGTGTATACAATTTCTTCACAAAATCCTGTTACTTCCATAAATACCAGATTTAGCCCATGGTACAGCTTGTAATGTTATTCATATTTTTTTGTTTAAATAAAAAATAAGTGCAAATAACATTAATGAAACAAAAATTCACGTGTCAATTTTCAAACGCGCCATTCAATACTACGGTACCCACTGATCAGTACTTGATCGGTAATAAATTAAGGTGCTGAATGGAGGTGATTAATGTTCCGTATTATGACGATTTTGTGATAAATTGTTGATTCTCTCCCAGGCTCTGTGTCCGGCGAGGGAGATCCCGACACAGGGCCGCTACCACCAGGACCCGTTTGCGTACTACCACCCCGGGGACCTTATTAGAGGTACCAGCACACACAACTCACGCAGGGTGCTTGGCTTGTGTACAATACTGATGATAATAATGTACAGGCCTTTGTCAGGACTCCGCACGACAGTTCAGTCTGGGGTTTTATTTGACCATGCTTCACCACGCCGATCAGTGGGGGTTGGTGAAGGAATGGTGGCAGTAGCTGCTTGGGACTAGATTGCATATAACTAGCCACTCATGTTAGTTGTGGAAATGTTCTCCCTCTAACATGCAATTGGAGAAGCTAATATGTTTGCAATGACAGATACTTGCAAATATAGTTAGTGGGCCATTTTCAATTGGTAGGCCTCATGTGGACACGGGGCGTATAAAATGAAGTCGTGGTTTGGATCTGCCCACGGGCCGTAGGTTTCCCTGCTTCGATGTGTTGTGAAAGGCTGCACGGGAATCTTTGTGTTCATTTTTTGCAGCGGTGATGAAGGACGTGGACGAGGAGCAGGAGAGACTGACCATCTCCGTGCAGACGTCCGCCCTGCCCGAACATGTGGCCCACGTCAAACTGGGCGTCATCAACGCCGAGCAGATGCCCCCGCACTACAGGTAATCGTCGTAGTGGTCTAGCTGCAGGCCGTGTAACTGTACTGGGGCCCACGGGTCGGAGGGGCTCAGGCACTGCTACGAATAGCAGTGGAAATTGGACAGAGCGCTACATTTAATTCTGTATCACATTACCACGTTTTTAAATCCCTGTCCTAACACTGGACTCTATAGACTAACATGGATTGGCTCCCGCTGTACGTATGTATGTTGAACTTGTTTTGCACTATACGTAGCCAACCGTGCTAATCGGAGGTGCGGGGGAAGGACAAAAAACTAAATGGAAAAAGCAGTTCTGAAGAAATTATTTTCAATCTAGATTTGAAAGTGCATAGCTCCAGTGCCTTCCTAATATCGGAAGGAAGAGCGTTCCAGACGGCCGCAGAAGCGCATCTGAAAGCGCGCGATGCAGTGACCGTCTTCTGTTCGATGGTTAGGCAAAAGCCACCTTGCACCGCGCATTCTGAGGTAGCTGGAGGTGAATCGGCTCCACCGTGCCTTTGTGTGCGTGTGTTGTACCTGCTCACACGCATGTGTGACGTGCACGCTGGCGCCACAGGTGCGTGCTGGCGGTGTCTGGGGACGACACGCTGACGTACGAAGATGCGCTGCGCAACTCGGTGGCCTTCTCCAACCCGGCGTGCGTGGAGTTCCTCATGTCGCGCCTGGGCGTCAGCGAGAGCCACCCGCCCTCGCTACTGCGTGGGCTGCAGAGGTGAGCCGAGGCTGTGTGTCTCGGGACGGCCAGTGCAGGGGTAGGGAACACTCGGCCCACGACTTAATCTCGCATGGCCCGCAGCCACATGAGGACTACCTCTTTAAAACGGCACGCAAAGTATATTTATACGTCGCCTAAAGCATCTCGGTCACACTTATCAATTACTAGAGGCGGATTTTTTTCGACTTCGCAACACGGCGTGAAAAAATATTAACGGGGGCAGTCACTTTTGTTGCTCTTTAAAATGCACGTTATTGTTCAAATTTATATTGGATGACAATATATCTGGCCTGCCAAAGTATTATTTGAATGTGCTATTTGACCTTCGGTAAGGAAAAGGTATCCCACTCCTAACCTAACCTCTCAAACACAGCTATCTATGGGTGCAGCTTCTTGAGATGCGGTTGTATTTAGATGCCTTTACAGTCACATTATACAACCTGTCGCCACACCCACCATCGCCGTCGTGTAATGAACTGTGACGTAATTCTTTGTTTGCTTCGTTGTGCAGCTCCGACTTCTCGGCGGAGGATTTTGCGCCGGTGCTGAGACAGAAGCAGTCGACTGCATGGGCTCTGAAGTGGTGAGTTTGAGTGTAAAGGCCGTCAAGCTCTGACACGATATCAAAACGCTTCAATTTTAAATCGCTGTTGTGCCTCCAACTCAGCTCATCGTGCTGTCGGCCAGTGGTCATCCTCTGAATAGATAGGTCTCTGTCATGGGAATGTGGAATTTGCGTTCACGGGGATGAATATGGTCGCACAGGAAAACGTGTGTGTTTGTGCGCAGTCTGCTCACGTGTGTATGCTTGTGTGTTTTGTGTTCGTGTATACTTATCGTGCTTGTGAGCTTGCATATGTTCATACTCTTAGGTTTTTTCGGTAAAGTCACATAGGTATTCTCTTGTGCACGTGTCTGTTCACATGCATGTGTGTGCATGCATTTTGTTGTGTGGACATATTGTCCTGTGCATGCTTATGGAACTGTCATGTAGAACATGTGCACTGCATATAACAGTCACTGCTTATGGCATGTCCTCATCATCTATATGTATAAAAGGGAAATTTGTGAATGTGTGTCTGTTTGAAATGTTTAGCATATTTCCCAACATGCAACAAACTTGAAACTTTGCACGGCAAGTGAGCGGTGACGTCACATCTGTGATGTCACCCGCATGCGGAAGCATTACGCAGTGTGCCCTGCTGACGTCACGCATCCCCCCCCAAGACAAGAATCCAAGTCTCGGGCGAAGCCGGGTCGTAAAGCTAGTATCATATATGCAGTGACTGTTGTGGCATATCTCATGTCGCGTTGTACGTGTGCAGGTGTGTTCATATTCGCACGCGAGTGTATGCCACATGCGTTTGCTTCCTTGTGCATTTCACGCGTGTGCTGGCGTAACTGTGTCCACACGTGTACGTTCTCGCGTGCGAGGTTAAATCCGTATGGATGTACGTGCACGCGCGCATGTTTGAGTGCGTGCTTGTGCTCGTGTATGCTGCCCGTTCCCAGTGTGAAGAGCGGCGTTGATCACTTCAAGTCGGGGCAGCCGGTGGAAGCGATGAACGCGTACAACCGCGCTCTCGAGATGGACCCCACCAACGTGGAGGCCCTGGTGGCGCGCGGCGCGCTGTGAGTGAACCCCCGCCCTCTGCACCCGACGTGGACACCTTGCGATGACTCTGAGCCGCGCGTAAACCTGGGAGCGCCTCTATTCCCCACATGCTTCCCCCCCCCCCCGACACCTCTCTGCAGGTTCGCCAGCAAGGGCAGCCTGACCAAGGCCATGGAGGACCTGGAGGCGGCGCTGGAGGCCTCTCCGACGCACCGAAACGCGCGCAAGTACCTGGGACAGACGCTCTGGCAGCGTGGGCAGCAGTGAGTACAGGGGAACGCGAGCCTGTGTGTGAGTGAGTGTGTGTGTGAATGTTGCGAGCCTGTGTGTTCTTGTGTGTGAGTGTGTGTGTGAGAATGTGTGAGAGCATGTGTGTTTTTTTTGAGGAGCGGGAGTGCAGTGGTTAGTGCACTGCGTTACGAACCCGACAAACGGAGTTTGATTCCCGCTCACAGCCAACATCTGTGACATCTGAACCGGTTCTAGGTTGTATCGGCCTTAAATGGGGAGTTAGTTTGAGGTGTAAACATCCGTATTGCGGAAACAAATGAGGCCGTGCGTGTAGTGGCTTTTAGTTTCACCTGCAGGGAGATAATTTTCTATTCGTTTGGTGGTCTTTTTATACACATCTTAGCTTCTCATTCTTCCACATCCACGCGTTATCAACAAATATAGGGTTTGTATCAAATGGAAGATCTTGTTCTCTAGTTGTGACATGCTGAATTTGTGTGTACTCTTAACTTCAATTTAAAAAAACTTCAATTTAAACTTCAATAAAAAAAAATCCCATATACAACGGCGGTATAGCTGTGCCATGATTAACGGTTTTGGCCGCTAATGATTTTCCATGCTCAAATAAGCTTTTCGGGGGCAGTGGGTCGTGCCATCGGCCCACCCTGAATTCCACATTCCTCCGGTCGGCTCTCCCTCGCAGCACTCTCCCCCAACAGTAGCACTAACGCGTCGGTGCTTCGGGGTCTGTTACCCCGAGTGTCTCTGTGCGCACTGCTGCCTGTCTGTGTTGTACACCCTCCCTGTGTCTCACCCGTTCCTCGCCTCCTTAGGGTGTTTGCCGAGGGGCAGCTGCTGAGCGCCGAGTCACTGTACCAGCGCGCGCTGGAGCTGGTGCCGGAGCTGGGCCCGGCTCACGACGGCCTCAGGGCCGTGAGAGCCAAGCTGCAGGTGAATGCGGTGCATATGTTCTTGGTTCTTTCGGTAAAGTCACGTAGAAGAGAAGTAATAAAATAATAAAAATTAAACATAAACAAGCAGCTGTCCTCAGGTGAAAACCAGGTCTGTCGAGGCGACAGCGTCTGTTGGGGCGACAGAGGAAAGTTCACGTTTAACCCCCGCGATGATGTTGGAAGCGAAGATTTATGTTTTTAATTGCAGCACGGCATCAACTCTTCGATTAGAGTCTGTTCTTAAGTCCACGATAGAGGTGCAAAATTTCGCGAGTGAGATTCGATTTATTTACGGGTTTTTTTTGCATGTGGTGAGCTGCTGTTGCCTGCGACTGAACTCCAGATCAAAATACTGACAAGTTGTTTTGTGCTGCTCGTGTATGTGTCTTTGTACGTGTGTGTGTGTGTGCGTGCGCGCGTGTGTACGTGTGGCCGTGTGCACCTGTGGGGTTCGCCCACCACGGGGCACCCTGAATCGATGGCGATGGTGACGTCATCCTGTCTCCTCCTTCACCACCACCATCACCGCACTCGAACCCCCTGCCTGGCCGGTGACACTGGTAACGCTGGTAATGCACGATTCACTACACCTCACTCTCTTCCACGGAGTAATGCCTGGTGCGTTACATTTTCATTTGTGTGTGCTGTATCGTCTACAATATTTACTGTGATGGCCTTATTTATATAATGGCGTGCGTTAAAATTTGCACAATTTTATTTATCGTGTACCGTCCTGTATTGTATTTAATTTATTTACTTATCATGGTTTTTGGTTTTTCCCCCATACATTTTAAACTGAAATCCGATCGAATACAATCGCGTTCGCGTGTATATCTCTAAACCGCGGAATAAATTACTCCCAAAAACGTGTTACGCCCGTGTTAATGTGTGACCTGCGCTGCCGATGCGTGCCAAAAATGTTGTTACGTTTCTACTGGGCGTCTTATGTCCTTGTTTGGGATTTAAATGTGTGTGGGTGTTGCGTGTGTGTCAATGTGCGTTTGTTGCTTCTGTTGTCTGCTTGGGTTGTGTGTGAGGATGTGTGTTTTATTGCCTGTGTATGTGTTGGCGTGTTTGGGGTTTTCGGAGTGTATGTTGTTATATATCGCAATACACTTTGGTGTGTGTGGGTGCTTGTGTTTTTTTGTGGATGTGGTTTGTGTGTTGTCGTGCATATTGTCATATCCATCTGTGTGTCCGTGTGTGTGTTTGCCCGTGTCGTTGAGATGTGCGCGAGGGTTTTTCTTTTGTGGTGGGTGTGCGTGGATGTTTGAGGTTGCTTATTGTGTGTTGTGTATATTGTACGTTCCTGTTGCTGTGTCTGTTAATTTACGTGTTGCATTGCTTTGTGTGAGGTTGTGTGCTGTGCATTTGGTTGTGTGGCTGAGTGGTGGTGTGCATTGTTTATATCGAATGGGGTGTGTGGGGTTGAGTGTATTGTGTGTGTTTGCCTGTTGCCATTGGTATTGGTGTGTTATGGGTTACGTGTGTGTTGGGTTATGTTATTGTTTATAATAATGGGTTATGTTTGAATGGTGATGTGTCGTGTGTGTGTCTATTGGCGTGTGTTTTTGGATATTGGTCTGTGACTGTTGATATTTTTGGGTTAAACCTCTTCCCTATTCTACTGCTACACCTAACACCATAAAACTTTCTACATATTTTAATCGAATATTTTTAAACTATAAATCACGTTTACAACTCTACCTTCTCTTACCATATATACATGTTACTGTGCTAAATTATTTTACTAATTTGAACATTAAATAATCTAACAAATAAAACAAAATAACTTTTAAAACCTTTTATCACCCCTGTAACATTTTCTCAATTTTTATTTTCACACTTTCTCGTTAATTGGCCATCATGTTGAAATACTTCGTTTTATCATTACGTTACCATTTGCATGCAACTTAATGTTCTCAATCAATGTTGTTGTGTTACTTGCCGAATGAAAATCGGACTTTTTTTTCTGCCATTTTAAAACAATTGTGACATTTTATTTTTGGTACAACCAATTCTTAAAACCATTCCTAATTTTGTGCACTAACGTCACTTTAACCCATGTTCTTTAACCACAACTCACCAATCTAAAACCTTGCATCCGAATGTTTTGATTCCAACGCGGTCACTTCCACTGTCACTCGCGCATTGAAATGTACATGTGACTTGTTTCCACATTTCATTACGAATCGTATTTTTGTTAATCGTCAACATTACCAACATCGAAATTGGGCATTACGTTTTTTTTGCATTTCAAATTACGCTAATTTATGTCACCGAAACGGTTGTAAATCCTGTTCTGATGTGACGATGGAAACCTCGCCCCTGTTTGCAAATATTTAACAATCGTGCAATCCGCGTTAACATGTTCTCGCTCTCAACACGCGCACATTTGCTCCATGTGTCATAATTTGGTGCAATTTTTGGTTTATTTTATCGTGCAAAACAAACCTTTAATTACCCGTTGAAACTGTTGCAATTTTAATTAATTTATTTTCTCACTTTGTAAAACGTTTTGTAAAATGACATTGAGAATTGTTTGTGAATTTTACCCGACTCTGCGGGGACGGGAATTGGAACACGTTGCCAACCATCGGTGGCTTACGGCGTGCACGAGTTGCGTTCACCTGGGCTCGCTCGACTCCCAACTACCGCCCTCACCCCCCCCTCCCCCCACGAGCACGGTCGGGGTAACGATCGCACTCGTGTTCCCGATGCACACGCTCGCCTTGTTCTGTGTTCGCAAAACAAAAATCCCCTTCGCCAAAACCAAACGACCCGAAACAAAAACTCATTAAACCGAAACCCAAATACGTTCAATGGAAACCAAAACCCCGCTGAAACGAAACCCAATGATGTACTACTGCCCCGGAGCTGCTCGATTATTTTCTCACCATCATCATCGGACAAACACTGCGTCTGTCTCATCGGCACGAGCGCTCCACGCTGCACGCAACTCACTCTTGGTCTGCGACTTCGCGTTCTCGCTGCGTTGACGTAAAATTTATTTGCTTCTGGAAAAATGCGCACACTGCCCGCAAATTGCGCACGTTCGATAAACGTGTGCCCAATGTACTGCTTTGCCAATACGATGGCAATGCAACATGACGTGCGTCACATTAAACCCCGGCTTAATTGACTCCGTCAACGCGGTCGTAAAATTCGAATCTCCCTGCCCTAAATCTGTGACGCTGCGTGTACATGTATGGTACACATTGTGTGGTTATACATTTACACGCGCATATTTGCGCGCGTGCGTCGTACGCCCCGGCCGTTCCCTTTGGACCCAACATTTACCGTCGTGCAAATTCTCCCGGTTGTGGCGGCTGGGGTGGGCGGGGCACCAACCCGTTGACGCACGCGCAAACCATTGCCGCCGCTTGCTCCCGTTCGGGGTGCCTCGATCGTTTTCCCGACCGCTTGGTCCACTCGTCCACGGCTCGTCCACGGCTCGTCCACCCTCCTTGCTGCCGCCCGGCTGGAATTGCCACCCGTGGACCCGGCACCTTCCGTCTCGGCTCGCGCTCTGGCGGGCGTGGAGGAGCGGGAGGCGGAGGTGAAACTGGAGGAGAAGAAGCGGCAACAGAAGGAGGACTGTCGCCCGGGAAGCGACGAGTGCGGACAAGCTGCGGCAGCTGCTCCATGACGAGAAGAGGTGAGACGCTCATCGATTATTCCGCTGTTGGATGAAAGTCTCTCATCATGCCTTCACGGTCTGTTGTGTAACTATCCCTCAGTCTGGCCACCTGCACAGGAGCTGATCTCATTGCTTCGTCTCCGTGGTGGACATATTCTCGGGCGTAATTTTCTCTTTTGGCTGCCACTGTTAATAGTCGTGACTATTGGCCATTATCCCTTTTTAGCAACGTGTCCTGACCAAGCCCACTTATACTAACAGTCAACATGATGTCTTGATTTTCATGACTCAATGGATGAGAAATGCTCTTCTAAGTTGTTCTTTCGTGATAGTCGTGGCGAGCGCTGCTCCTTTCTCCTTCGCAACGTTTTTGGAAGTAAGTCGCGATTAGTGATGATGCCACTGATCATGACAATGTTGCTGCTGATGGTACTCTGTTTTCGCTCATACTTATTGATATCAATGGTGCTTATGATGTTATTGATGATACTGATAATGACTACACCGATTAATCATTTTGAAGCCCAGCTGTTTTAGTCATAGCGCAAGTCCGTCCGTTGCGTGTGCGCTACCGAATGCGACACTGGCACACTGTGCTTTGTTGAATTAAAGTGATGAGCTAATGCTCTTATCGATGACTCGTTGAACCAAACGACCAATCCTTGTTGCAGAACGCAGAAGAAACGCAGGCGAACGCCCTCGGAGTCTTCATCCGTCATCACGGTCTCCTCCACCGACTCTTCCGAGTCTTCGCACTCCTCCTCTGGTGGCGGCGGAGGCGGCTCTCGAAAGCACAAGCGCAGCGGGAAGAAGCGTGTCAAGAAGAAGCCGTCCAAGTCGAAGGCGAGGGGCAAAGGCAAAGGGAAGAAGAAGAAGAAGACGAGTGGGCACAGAAAGAAACGGAAGTCTTCCTCGTCCAAACCCAAGCGCAAGCGGAGGCACAGCGAGAGCAGCGGCGAGCGCCGGTCCCACGCCAAGCGGCAGCGGCCGAGCTCCAGCAGCCGGCGGAGAACCGAGTCTGAGTCACAGAGAAGCCGCAAGGAGTCCGTGACGGAGAGATCGGGGGGGCGAGCGCCGCGATCCATCTCTCACCACTCGTCCTCTTCTTCCTCCTCCACCACCTCGCGGTCGCGAACACGATCGGGCTCTGAGCGAAGCACCAATGGGAAGACCTTCGTACGCGAAAAACAACGCGGGGAAGAAGCGGCCTTCCTTGGGCAGTGGCAGCTGCAGAAGTGTCTCCCCAGGTCCGGACAGACGCTGCTCCCCGGTCGAACAAGGGTCGGTGAGGAGAGGGGACGACTCGTACGATCGCAGTTATGCCCGGAGCACGATAGGGGGAAGGCCGCTCGCCCTCGCAGGGGAGGTCTGGCCGTAACAAGTCCCCGTGCGCAGAACGGAAAGAGCAGCCTGCGGGCCCGGACGCGGTGGGGGCGGGGGGTTCACGCTCGCCGCGCCGCTCCCGCGAGTGGTACCGCCACGACTACCACGGTGCTGGTGACGCCTGCTCCCCGCCACCCTGCACGTCTGGATCGTTCCTGCGTGACGGAAGGGCGGGCAGAGCGCCCAGCGTGGTGGTCGTGTCGGACTCCAGCGATAATTCACCGAGCGCCTCGCGGGGCCCCGGCCCGCGACATGAGCAGCCAGGCCATGTCCGCGGCGGTAGTCGTCGTGGTTGTGGCGTCGGTGGCCACGCATCCACCGATCGGTCGGGCCTGGGGCAGCTGAGCGTCTCGTATGACTCGCAGCAGGAGGAGGAGGTGGAGTATGCGGAGGAGGACTTGTGGCGTCGTCACGATGCTTCAGGCGCCAGAGCGTCGCGCAATGAGGACGGGAAAACTCAGCGGAGGCACGAGTCCGAGCGCTTGGCAGGGAGCGGGAGGAGGCAGGGCCACAGTGTCGAGCCCAGAGGAGGCCGCTGTGCCGGTGGCGGCGACGCTCGTGATTATTGGGAGCGCGGGCAGAACAGGAGCTTTGAGGGCCCTGAGAGACCAAGCCACAGGTCCTCAGCGAGCCTGGCGTCCGACGTGGTGGAGGCGACGGCTTTCGGAGCAGAGCAGGGTGCACCCCGAACGGGAGAGCGAATGGGCAACTGGAAGGGGGAGGAAAGCAGGAGGCAGCGGACGGTTTCGGGCAGTGGAGGAAGAGGCGATAGTGGTGGAGGAGCAGGAGGTGGTAGGGAGATAGGCGGAGGAAGGTTGCGGTCAATATCAGGTGGAGACAGAGGAGCAGGGGGGGATCGTGGAGAAGATGGCGGTGGTGTTGAAGATTCAGCCGCCTGGGAGCAGGGAGGGGAGAGGAGTGGTGAGGGGAGATCTGGGAAGTTGCTCAACTCGCAGCCAGACAGGGATCTCCCACAGCAGCTGCAGGATATCCTGGGCAAGATCGAGAGGTTCAAGCGCGACAAGAACAAGGAGACTACCGCGTGAACAAAATGTGTATTATTTTGTCCCTTTACTACCATGGGGGATTTGGGGGTAGACACAAGCCTAGACTAACAAACCAGGTGCTGGGTTGTTTCATCTGTATATGTACAGCCTCTTTGTCAATCAACTTCTCCCCACACCGTCTGGGTATTGGAGGTTATTTTATCATACCTTTGCTATGGTGGGCAGTCCAGGTTGGGGCATATACAGGGAGCACAGAAGTAGAGCACGGCAAATGTTTGTTGCCGCAGTGCCCTCTCCTGCCTACGGTGTAGCCCTGCAGCCTTTAACACCTTTTGTGTGTAATGGTCACCTATCCAAGCACTATATCTAGGCTCGTGCTTGCTTCCTCTTCCGAGTTTGAAGACATTCCGAGTGATTAAGTCACAGGTAACCTACGGGACCTCTTTTTTTCTCGACAGTTTAAAAATGATGAAAAAATAATCTGCTTTCTGGCATTGGTAATCGTTACAGCTGTAAAATGTCCCTCTACGTGCACCGGGCTCCATAGGCTTCACGTGGAGACCGCTCCTCGCTGAGCATCGCACGTTGCGACGTAGACGTAGAGCAGAATGGTGGTGGCTTGTGTGATGCCACCGGAGGGCGCTGTAAACATCTGAAAGTTGTGTAGCTGTGACTTAAACATTATTTTTTTCCTCACTATTGAATGTTGAAACTGGTGTAGGGCAGCCCGTGATACACAGCCCCGACATGTTTCCACAAACTAGGGAGCCCACTCGTTTTTTTTAAGGTTGCGTCTTTAAGTAAGTGCATGATTCTCTCCTGACGGGACATGAGAAACATTTACAAATGAAAGGATGACGTTGGCATTTCAGAGAATGAAGATTTATGCCACTCCTGGGATAGGTTGAAGAAAATGTCTCTGCGTTGCTGGAGGCGATGGTTTTTTTTGTTCAAAGTTCGTCGTTGGTTTTGGAGACTGTTCGAGCCCACAGGGACATTTTGACCACGGTTCGGCCGCCTAAAGGACAGCCTCGCCTCCCCGAAGTGGAATTCTCTCGTGTCAGCACCACAAGGGAAGCCGACAGACAAGAGGCCATGGACAGTCAACGCTAAACAGAGTGTTTTGAATAAGGATTTGTTTATCAGTCGTCGTGGGATGCTGTTAAGCTCAAGACAATGATTTAAACAATTTGCCAAATATCCGGTAACGTGGAAAGCATTTTTGTGTTATTACTACCTGCGTAGATTTGTCTTGGTTGCGCTATACAACTCTCCCTTTGTGTTTTCGGGTTGTACCGCATGTTGTTTGTTATGATGTCCAACGTTTTGCTCCAGAAGCTCCCAGCACTTGGAGCGCAGTGTCGGACATTCTGCCGAATGACACGCAGTGCAAAACCGAAAATGCATCCGAGAGATATTTCTGTGCGTTTTTTTTTGTTATGTTTAACCACGAGCTTAGTAATTTTCATCACCATGAATTGTCTTAATGATGTTCTCTTTTCATGACATGGAAAGCCTGTCTCTTTGCTGAAATAACATGAGGCTGAATTCATCTCTAATGGTGGCCTTGAGGGGTGGAAACTCAATATTTCTACAGCGTGGGCCGGAGGAAGGACACTCTTGAGCTCACACATTGATACTGATCTTGTCGATCCTGGAGGAATAGTATGTTGACCCCTCTCCCCTCCCCACCGTACAGTCATCCAATTGCGAGTTGCGTGTTCATCGGAGTGTCCACCAGATGTATGGGAAGCTGAATAATCTACAGGTAGAGCATGCCTGAGACTCATTGAAGGACTTCAGGCTCCTCGAGATTGCCCTAGGGGCTCGTTGGTGCTGCCCTATCGGCCCCGGCTGTCCCTGGGGCTTATTGGTGCTGGGCCCCCTGATTGCTTTATCATCGGCTGTGCCACCGTGTTCCTCTCTCCCCTCCCCAATTGTACCCCTTGATCTAACCACTCCTTCACTCACCCCCTTCTTCCTATTTCATTTTTTTAGGAAAGCACCTCCGGATACTTATTCCATTTAGATGCTATATACATTATAATTGTTGCTGGAATTACCTACGTTGGGAAAGGGAACATTTACGATCTAAAGGTTGGTTGTAGATCAATACCTGTACGTTAGATTACCAGTGATAATTATTTATTTAGCTTGATTGTGTTTGCGCTGAGCCAGGCAGCGTCTTCATTATTTGAAGAATGCCTTGTCCTCAGACCCCCTCTAAAGCTTCGTTAACAGACGCGCGGTCTTTAACAACGAGCGGCGTCGCCGTCTGTCTTGCACCACGACCACAGGTCGAGTTGTCACGTAAACCTCACCCGTGCAGGTTTGCTGCACACAGGCCTCTCGCCCTGTGCAGGTTTTCCAAACACGCGAGGCCTTGGCCAGTTCGGGAAAGCCTGTTGAGCAGGGCCGAGTCGAGGCGTTGAAGATCAAACCAGGCGGGGCGGATTGCAGGCGTCCACGAGGAATTGGTTCCTAGTTGACGATAAACCACTCGCATCATCAATGACCACTTGCACGTCCTGGCGTGGCAATGTTGGTCCACAGTGGGTGCCTTTTTAACAGACGGGCATTTGGCGGGCTGCAGAGATTTGACATACGTCAGACGCGAATCTTCATCCGTAGCTTGCCAGTCGCGTGCAGAGGAGTGACGTTGCTCAGAACTGCCAGCCAAAGAAGTAGAGTTGGTTGAACAGTGCCTGAGATGATGTGCGTTGTGGAATGTAGCTGCATGTCAATCTAGCTCTGTGTATGACCGACCCCAGTCAGGCGTGCGGTGCATGGGGTTCTACCGTCGAGTACGAGACTTGAGTGCAGACGTCTGTAGAGTTGGAGCATTGGGGCCCCCGTGACGAGCCAGCAAACGTGTGCTGAGTTGCGAGTAGGAATAGCCATATCTGATGGTGAGATGCCTAATTTTCATCTCGTCTCGAAGTACGTTTTGTTAAAATCAGCTGAAGGCTCAAATGAGCCTGGGCTGCTAATTTCCCTTGGGATGACAACTGTTTTACTAGAGTGGTATTTATTTAATTCGTCAAACTCCCCCACTGCCTTCAAAACTGCGAAGAGAACTTTCTAATTCTGCACCACCCATGTTTGTGTAGTAGGAGTATTTCATAAATTACATCCATTTTCTTCCCATTCCACTGCTGAACGAAGACCTCCCGACGCTGTATGGGTCATGGGGATTGTTTGACCACTCTTCAGCAAGTTGGTCAGTGTGGGGTTTGGAGGAACGGTTTAGATATTGCTTGCCACTTGTGTTGCCAATAGCCGGCAAGAGAACGTGTGTTGCTCGAGTCAAAGCGCAGCGAGAGAACCACTGTGCCATGCTCGGCCGAATTATTGTTGCTGTTGCTTCCATATAAATAATAAAAACTGTTTCCCCGAGGGTCGTGGTACTCGGTAAAATAGACGAACTCGTGTTTATTTGCAATCTTCGTAAAAAAATGCATTCACCGTGGGCAATCCTGGTTCGAATGGATAAAAAAAATTAGGCCAAATGTGGTCATCACTTGTTACGGCTTTGGTTGAAAAGTGTTGCTTCATATATTGAATAAACGTAAATCCTGCTGTATTTCGTCATACGAGTCTGTGGATATTCCCAGTGTCATTGGGTATGTTTAAAATTTTCTCCCATTTAATGAAGAAAATAAAAACATTTCATCTCCCAAATTAGCTTTTGGTACCATGAGATAAAAAAAATCCGTTTGGAATATTCATTTACAGTATGGTATATAGAGTAATAAAACATGAATTTGAAATAAAATCAGCATACATCAAACCCTTTGCATGTCAAGAGAAGCCCCCCACGAATGCCCAGAAACCAACCAAAGTTATGATTGGGTAGGGGAAGCAATGCAACGCGTTTGAGGGCATTCGCAAATATGGAGCGGTCGTGTCAAGGGTGGCACAGTCGGGTTTTTTACAATCGGGTTTGTCTTTTATATTAAACTCGATCTGAGATTTGGAGAAATTCGGTTTAATTGGTTCTAATAAAAGAAACCCGATGCCTGCCGCTGGAAAAATCGAGTTTTTTCCACCCATGGTTGGCGTAGGTGGATTATAGCGCAGGATCCTGAATTGGCGGTGGCTTTTGAGGCCTCGGCTTAGTAGACCGAGTGGTGCCGTTTTCACCATCTGTTAAGAGGGGCAGAGCCCATGCCTTTGCACCAGCTTCAATTCCCAATCTCTTCAACATCCTTTGGCCCCACCATTTTCTGTGGCCTTACCCTCTGATCTAGCCCTGCACTGCTCTCCACTTCCCAAGATGTAGCCACCAAAACATATTCCTGCGGCGGTAGCTGGTAGGAACGTTGGGTTGCTCAGTCAATGGCCAGGGTCAACGGCGGCGTGGTGTATTCCGCAAATATGCCGGACTGAGGGCAGGCACAAGCCGGCGTGAGTAGGTTAAACGTTGAGTTTTACAAGGGCACCACGGGGTGACCAGCCCCTCCCCACTCAGCCACACCCCTCCCACCCTCACCACCCAGCCCCTCCCTCCCCACCCTGCACGACAGACACCATAATCCACTGTGGGCTGGTGTAACCAGAGGTTCCTACCAGTAACACCACCTTGTGACAACCTGTTTGTACATGGTGGACAAGAGTAAAGGACTGCATTTCTTGTCTCCAGCCAAGGGCATTCAACAAAGTGCGACACCATGGCTGTAGGGGGGGTGGGGGTCAGGCAACATAATTTATTGTTTATATATTGTTGTTGCTAATAACAACACGGTACAATCACAAGGTGAGACTAAACTGGCACAGAACTCGACAGAACTTGACAAAGCAAACGGACGAAACCAGTTTTTTTTGCAGCACGTGATGCCACTGTTCACATCCAGAGAAGTGGCTGGGAACCTACGGCTCCACAACCACACGAGGTCTCATCATGAAAGGGCTAGCAAACAACATTCATTACTGTATCTTCGCCGCACTACTCAATAGAATAGTTTCGAGCTGGAAACACTTTCAAATTTTTAGTGCTCAAGTCAACTGCGAAAGTTTCTTCATACTCTTTCTAGATTTGAAGCTTTCGTGACTGCAATGATTCATATTCTTAGGTTTTTTCGGTAAAGTCACGTAGGTAAAAACATTAAAAAGTAAAATAAAATGATACAGCTGTCGTGGCTGTGACGGTACCACCTGAAGACGGAAGCTTGTGTTGCCTCCGAAACGTCGTGATTTTTATTTTATTTTACTTTTTAATGTTTTTACCTACGTGACTTTACTGAAAAAACCTAAGAATATGAATATTTCTTCATACTCGTTTAGACACGCGCGTCACTGGCGTTTGTTCAGACATCCCGCTGCTGAAGGTATCGATTCATTTTCATCCATCGGTCAAGTTAACGGTCCACCCTCCTCCCCTCCCTCACCAACCCCGATCTGGAGGAACAAGGGCTACGAAATGACCAAACACAATATCCACACTTGCTGTTAACACAGCAATTTAAAATGCCACCCGCCCCATCAGTAGACCTTGCCCATTCCGCACTGAACATGCATATTCAGGGATTAATTATTTTTAAGTTTAACGATTTCCCAGTATTTTGCGCAGTACACGCTGCATGCTGAACAGATATTCGACCAAAATGCGTTGTGACGAGAGAGTGTTTTGTGTATAAGTTTGTGTATGCGTGCATGTGTGAACAGGTCGTCATTTTTAGTCGACGCTAAAAATTGTTCAGCTTGCTCACATGTAAATCTGTTCAACGTTATGAAAGAAATGTCCCGCTCATAAGACGGGCCAACCTATGACATTGCCTTGCTCAACAAGGGCTCAGTGCTGGGTTGAAATGCCAAGTCGAGCAGCCTATGATGTGTCACTTTCTGAAGGGCAAGTCTCTAACAACAGCAGCACAATTGTTAGGCTGAGTCTAAAAAGCAACACTTTTGTGCTCAATTAAAATTTATATTGGATCATCTTTACAGGAGTTATTAACCCCCCTTCCACCCCCCATCGGCCCTGCTACCGACGGACAGAACAAGTACATTGAGCCTTTCAGGCTTTGTTGGGAAGTGTTGGACAGCACTGGGTGTGTGTGTAAGCGTGTGTGTGTAAGCATGTGTGTGTAAGCATGTGTGTGTAAGCGTGTGTGTGTGTAAGCATGTGTGTGTAAGCGTGTGTGTGTGTAAGCATGTGTGTGTAAGCATGTGTGTAAGCGTGTAAGCACACACGCGGGCGTTCGACACTTCACGTGGTCTCAAGGTGCACATGGCCTGGCACAAGCGTCGTGGTGACGTCACCGCCACTTAGCGGCGAATTGCGGTTGTTGTGTGCAAGCGTGTGTGTGTGCAAGCGTGTGTGTGTGTGCAAGCGTGTGTGCAAGCGTGTGTGCAAGCGTTGTGTGTGTGTGCAAGCGTTGTGTGTGTGTGCAAGCGTTGTGTGTGTGTGTGCAAGCGTTGTGTGTGTGTGCAAGCGTGTGTACGCGTGTGTGTGTAAGCGTGTGTGTGTGTGTAAGCGTGTGTGTGTGTTCGCTGAAGTGGAGGTGTGGCAGGCTCGCGTGCTTGCTGGCTCAGCGGGCTTGTAGCGGGACAGGGCACGGGCCGGGGGGGGGGGGGGTGCGGTGTCGTCAGTCGAAGAGCAGGTCCTCGTCCCTCTGCTCGTCCAGCATGCTGGCCACTTCCTGCTCGCCGGCTGTGCGACGCGCCTCCCTCAGCTTCTCCTCCTTTGCCTTCAGGATTTTCTTCTTCTCCTGGATCTTCTTGAGTCTGGAGCGGAGACAAACGTGAGGGAGAAAGATGAATAGAGGGAGGAAAGAAGGGCGGTAAGAGGGAAGGAATACAATAGCGCGAGTGGAGGTAGATAAATGGCGGGGAGAGGGGTCTCGCAGTCAAAATAACGAGACATTTTTTTCAAATTGTGTGCAAAACTATTTCAAGAGCCGCAATGCATGTGGTGAATACGGGACGGTGGTGGTCCTTAATAAATAACGTCCCGAAGCAATCCTTTAATGAGCCGCATGCGTTTCCGGAACCACAGGTTTGCCGACCCTTCGTTGAGGGAGAGATGGGGGGGGTGACCTCACCGGTAGAATTCCTCTCTCTCGCGCTCGTCCAGCTCGGAGATGATGTAGGCGAGCGTGCGCTCAATTCGAGGGATGATCACTGCGGGTGCAGCAGACGCGCACGCACAGACAGCACGAGTCGTCCACCTTGCTCTGTCACAAGTTCAGCAGCAGCAGCAGATTTGCCAGGATCGTGGGGATCGTGTATAGATCAGTCCTATTAGGTGCCTGATGAAATTCTAGTGGTGCTGCCAGGTTGTAAATATGCCCCTCTAGTACCCAATTAGTGCAACCAAGGTGCATGCAGTGATGGATGGCGGGCTGTAGTCTAAGTGGTAGGCCTCGTGTGGCTGGGAGCCGGGGGAAACAAAGTGTCGTGGCCCATTGTTCTGGCTTGTGGAGCACGTGGGTTCCCCCAGCCGTGCTGGGCGGAGAGCCAGACCCTCGCCGCTGAGGCTCTCACCGTGCTCGATCGCGTTCACCCTCCGGTTTGTGATCTTGATGGCCTCGTCCAGTGTGACAAACGAAGTCTGCCAAGAAAAACAACGTTTTTATTTTCGCCGTCATCGTTGTCGTCCGTCGTAGTCCACTGGCTCGGACAAGTCATCGGTGTCTCCCAGGGTCCTTGAAACCGATATTTTTAATTATCTTAAATGACACCTTGAAACAAGCTGGTGGCGTGTTCTAACGGCAGTGCATTTGCCAATGAATGCCGGAGGTTTAGAGTTTGAATCCAGCAGTCGCCCTGATAATTATTACTACGAGTGTGATAAACATGGGCATTAAAGGATCCCCTGATGTCAATTGCAACAGTAGGCCATTGTGTGCTGGCGTTAGGATCCAAATTTGCCAAATTCCTCAAAATGGAACTATACATTGCAATCACCACCCTCCTACTAACGCCCAAGGTCGCTCTTGCAAATTAGACTTATCACCTCCTTAAACAAAATAAACATAAAATAAAGTCTGAATTGAGTAGCATTTGGTGTTTCGTTGATGCTCGATGTGATGTCAATAACATTACAAACATCACATCAGCATCATTCATACTGGGTTTGGAACAAAGGTGATCTAAGTACTGACCCCACTAAGTGCTCATTTTCCATGCCGTCCTTAATAACAGCACTTGCATTAACAGTTTATAAAGGCTACACACAGTGTGAATCTCCATCTTGTACCTGCAGCGAGGCGAGCTCTATGAGCAACTCCACGGCCTTGCCGTAGTTTTTCTTCAGCTTGGCCAGCTGCTCCCCGCCCCGTGCCAACCCGGTGAGCTCATAGCCTGCGCACGGAGATCACAGCGCCCCCCGCCCCAGTCAGTGAACAGCACACACAAGCAACGGTGCCCCTCACAGTGCAACACCGCACAACTCGGAGCTCCGTCAGAAAGCCCTGGTTGCTGGAGCGTAGCGTGTGTATGGATAGTAGAGGAGAGAGGCAGTATGTGTGGAAGGGAGTATAGTGAGAAGAGAGGAGAGGGGTAGGAGAGTGTGTAGATTAGAATAGAGTGAGATGAGAGGGGAAAGGTAGGCAGAAATGAGTCCGTTGGGGATCTTGAAGAGATCTCTGGGACCTTGTTTTGTCAGTATCAAGAGGAAGGGAGCGAGTATGATATTAAAGTTGAATAGGGATTTGTATTGGAGTTACGTGGTCGAGGCTACGGATGCAGGCGAGGAATTGAGCAGCAGTATTTTGGATATTGCTTTCACTGGAAAACAATGCATTGCATCATAATTTCTGAAGCGAGCGGCAAGATAAGCAGACGCAGTCCACATATGTAGGCGAGCGGTCGGCAGTAGGAGCCACCGAGCGGTGTGCGCACGTGTGAGCGCCACATTTGCGACGTGGTTGAGCCACTCACTGTCTCCCCCCTCGCTGTAGTGCTCGAACACAGGCAGGGTCACACCTGGGGGTCACAGAGGTCAGGTCACGGACAATCACACAGAGACAACAAGCAACACGCGTCCAGCCAGGCCCACATGCAACCGGTGGTAATAGCCATGAAAACGAGGCAGCTGGGGGACTCGGAGATAATAAAGATTGTGACAGAGTGCAGAGTTGGCACTGCCGAGGGTTTTGAATACACAAGTGACATATCTATGAACTCTTAGACAAGTAACAATGAGCTGCATAACAATTCACCCCCTCTTAGTGACTCGGCTCAGAGCTGACACAATTCGAGATTGGGAGCCAACCACTCTACTGCATCAGCAACTACTAATTTTAGGCCAAGTTAACCCAAGTGAGTCCCAGTCTTGGATTAAATACCAATTAACACCAGTGTTAATAGGTGTAAAGATCTGCCCACCTTACAAAAGGATCGTCACAAATCAAGAATCGTTAAAAGAACAAATTCTACCGCAATTATAATTTATGTCCATGAAATATTGTGTGCATTAGAAACTGCATTAACATTTTTATACCGTCAAAGCTGCTGCAATAAAGCCCTGGATACAGTAAACTCTTGATTATCCAGAGTAATGGGGGGGGGGGAGCAACGGTTCAGATAAAACATCACAGATAATCAAAAATTACGTAAATTAGGTTATAAGACGTATTTATATTTTACATATGTAGAATGGGGGGTGAAGATGTGTTTTTTTCTATGCGGGAATAAAAACTCCTTCTCTCTGGCCTAGTTTGTGCCGTGTAGAAGACCCATTGCCCAAAACTTCACCATACCTGCCACGTTATCCTTCTTGGCTTTCACCTTCACCTGCGCCCGGTTCACGTTCTGGATTACAGTCGTGCTGTGTACATGGGTGCGCGTGCACATGTGCATGAGTGTAGGTGCAAGTGCGTACGTGTGTACAAGTACGTGTGTGCATGCATGAGTGCGTGTGTGTACATGTTAAGGAGGGGGGGGGGGGGGATTACCCAAGATTAATACAGATTACTTGGATCCAGTTGCAGTTATATTCTGATCTCACTTGGACATTATTGAACAAAAAATATTGATTAAGCACCGTGCTTCCGTGAGCCACGTAACTTGAGTACAAACAACTGCCCTACTCACTTGATGACTCAAGTATCTCAGCCAATTATGGAATCACAACTTCTCTCGGCCAACTCGAGTTTCTTTCAACTTAAAAGTCCGACTGTAGAGTCGGCTGTCGATTGAAACGAGACCTGCATCAGACGGTTATACAGCAATACAAAACCTCTAACACAATACAATCAATAGAGCGATAACAGGAGCAACAGCAATACAATCTTGATTTGAAGCTTTCGTGACTGCAGGAATCCATACTCTTTGGTTCTTTCGGTAAAGTCACGTAGGTACAAAAATAACAGATCATGATGTTTCGATCGCAACACAAGCAATTGTTATCAGGTGGGACAACCACCGCAATACAATGTTAATACTAAGAAAAATAATACAAACGAGACGGAAAGTATGTCGATTTATTGTGGAATCGAATTGCGACCCTGAATAGTGGCAAAATATCGGATGGCTGCAGAGCAAAACGTTGGCCAAACAAATCCGCTTCTGACACCCGCCTACCGATATCTCCCACTCCAGCAAATATCTGCGGTCCCTTACCTGAAGTCACCAGCAGTGAATTTGGCCTCAGCCAAAGAGAAGGCAGCCTCCCTCATGACGTCACCCATCAGCATCTTGGTCTGGTGTAAACAAAGACAAATACCCACATATAGCCTTCTACAGACTGTTGGGCAGTGCCGGATTAAGCTAGTGCGGGGCCTGTAGCACACGTTGTTATAGAGGGGTTCCTAAATAAATAAATAACACGTAAAGATTTAAACAGATCAATTGTTTAACTTGCGTAAAGTACCGGTAATTGAATATTTTCATTTGCTATACGGCCAGATAATACGACATCGCTAACCTTAAACACCCAGTCGTTCATAAAAGTTGAAGGCGGTATCGTACTATAGTAATAGAGCAAGTGCAGAATCACTGAACCGAAATTGATAGCTTGAAAGCATTTAGCGCGGGGCCCTTGAAAGCATGGGGCCCTTAGCATTTGCTACTTGTGCTACGAGGATAATCCGGCCCTGCTGTTGGGGTAAGTGCTGTTAGAGAGCACCTATGAAAGCCGGTATGGTTATACGAGGAAGTGGGTGGCCGCAATTGTCTCCCCAGGGCTGATATTTACACACCGCACTAGTTACTAATTTAAGGCTGAGTCGACCTAGAGGAGACCCAGAATTAGTTAAAACATTCGCCACTGTCATTGGTCACGAGTGGAAATCGAACGCAGGTCACCCGATTCGTTTACAGACAGAACAGACAAACTGACGAACAGAGATAATGCAGAATTGCTTTCAACCCGAGTTGGAAAGTATTCATAATACAATCTTGATTTGAAGCTTTCGTGACTGCAGAAATCCATACTCTTTGGTTCTTTCGGTAAAGTCACGTGGGTAGAAAATACAATAAATCACTACTTTTCGGGCGCAACACAAGCATCCGTCATCAGCCTTAAATGAAAGCTTTCACACCTGATGACCGACGCTTGTGTCGCGCCCGAAACATCGCGATTTATTTTATACCTACGTGACTTTACCAAAAGAACCAAAGAGTATTCATAATACTCATTACCGTGTTGAGAAATGTTTTTTAGAGCTTTTCAAATGAGCCCCTTGGAGTTAATGCTTCGTCTATAGTACAACATCTGGGCAAACAGTGATAAAGATCACAAAACCGGTGCAAGTCTGTTGGTGTTGTGGCATTTTCATTCGGGGAGAAAAAAAATGACTTTGAATACCTGGTGGCTGAAAGGTCAACCTTTCACCCTTCCAGCCCATATATCCTCTATTCATTATCATGTTGCATACATACATGTTCCTATGACCAAATCACCCAGAGTACACCAAATCTCGTCCAATCTTGGAAGCTAAGCAGGTTTCAGCCTGGACGGTGCTTGGCTGTGTGATCACCATGCACAAACAAGTTGTCATCGTGTTTGCTGGGGCTCCGTGGTTAGTATGAGATGGCATTGCAACGAAATCAATTGCTTCCTTGGGGCTGTACTCCCCCCACCTTCACAAACCCACATGGACCAGCACAATCGAGTATGGTTAAACAACCACCAACGCTATTACAGCGTGTGCAGGCTTTCACCCAGCAGTGTGTGGACAAAAGAAGCCGTGCATTATTTTATCACGAGTTTTAAGGACGCTGCGATTGTTTTCATGGCATTCCTGGAAGACTAAATGTTCACAAAAGCACAACCAGCAAATAGCACCTGCCCCTCACCCACATTGACGCTGATCAGCTGTTTGTGCAAAGTTGTTGATTGCATAAAGATAGCACGTGCTCACTCAGGGAGATTGCAACCACTGGGAGGTTGAGCAGCCCCAGACGTACAAAACCTGCTCCAAATTAAACACAACCACATTAGCCCGTTTATCGTTGTTTGGGTTATTTTAGCGATAAGCACGCGAGTGGTGACTTTTCACCAGTTTATTTGTTAAATTTACTTGGATTTTTTTAAGCTAATGGTGCAACGTGTGACATGGTTTGGCTTGGGATTACAGTGGGCCTTGTGGCATTTTTTCGTATGTTGTGGCAGGGTGAAGCAGCTTGGTATTGCACTGCATGCCTTGCATGGTTTGTTACGGCCCAATGTGGCACGGTGCATGGGACTATTTGGCGTCCTGTGGAATTGCGTTTCACGATGTGATGTGGGTAGTGCAGTGTGGACATGGTTTGTGGTGGAGTGCTACATTGTATGGTGTAGCATGGTGCGGCGTGACATTGTGTAGAGGCACTGACCGCATGGTGTGGCGTGATGTAAAATGGTGTGGCATGTTATAACATAGTATGGCGTGTCACGTTATCATGTCATGATTTGGCGAGACGTAATGTGGTATGATGTGGTATGACAGTGTCCCACTGTAGGGCATGGTATGGTGTAAGGTGGCGTGGTGCTGCATAGGGTGGTGTGTCATGGGCGTAGCGTGTTTCCACGTATGACGTGCGCTCTCTCACGTCGATGATCTTCTTGAGGATCTGTCGGAAGCGCATGGAGAGCGCGTCGGCCTTCTTCTTCAGCAGGCTGCGTCCCGTCTGAGCTCCCTTCAGACGCGCCTTCATGATCGTCTGAGCCCTGCATCAAACACAAAGATCCCCCGTATAGCCTTCACATACTGTTGAGGAAAGTGCTGTTAGCGAGTACCTATGAAGGCCAGCATGGCACAAGAGGGGGTGGGAGGCTGCATAAATTGTCGTACTGTGTACTGAGATGCTATGCGCCCGGGTCTATGCTCATCGTCTTCATCGACCCGCACTGACCAGCGCGGTGAAGTATAGTCAAATAAACCCCGTGACCCGCGCGGCATTGGGGAGGGCCTCAATCAGCAGTGGAATGATAAAGGCAGCTCAAGTACTCACATGCGGGACGGGAATACGTCGATACGGTCTTTGCCCGACATGGTGATCTGCGGGAGAAGAGGGGTGAGAGAGAGAGAAGGGGACGGAGCTGAGGGTAACAAACAAAGCCAACCAGAGACTCCACTGCGGCTGAAGGTGAAGTCCTCGATTCGGCCTATGACGACGACAATGATGATGAAGCTACAGATGCGAAACACTGAAGATCGTGAAGATGGCGATGCTGATATAAGACGCAGGCCTCTCCGGTGTTGTATAGTGAAGGGTCATGCCCGAAACGGTGATTGTTATTACTTGTTATCTATTTTAAGGGCACAGTGTTATTGTCGATTGTGTTGAGGTTTTTTTAAATGTAGATACACTCTGAGTGAAGAGAATGGAGCTGTATAGATGAATGCGACTTGGATTGAAGGTGGTGGTGATTGGGAAGGCATAATGTTTAACGAGCAACACATATGTACAGTACTTTAGATGATGGTGGTGATCATTACGACGAATACGAAAAACTGTCCATAACAATTACGGTTTACACGTAGGAGGCTTTCGCGACCAATATTATGCATAATAAAGGATTTTGGGTTATATCGCGTAAAAATAAATGTGTCGTAACCCTCCACAATACGACACAGGCAAGAAGGCTCGTCACGGAGACAAAACGTGCCAATTACTTCAACCCACCGGTGTGTTGGAGAGTAAATTCATAAAATTTACAACCCCAAAACCTTTATTTACGTACAATCATCGTACTGTAGTAATTAACGCTAAGAGGAAATTAACAAGGTAGGTGCTGCTCTAGGGTATGAAATTGAGGGGAGGTTTCAAATACGTATAACAATACTAACGATTAGCAATTATAATTAAACAGGAAATCAGGACGGTAATGTACACTGACAATAATAACCCTAATAATATTTAACAAGGTCATACGAATAATTCTGCTGTATACACTCTGATGATCTAGGTTTAATGATCAATAATACAAATACGTACTCAGGATGGAACAGGACTGGAGTACCATAGCCTATGATGATAATTACAAATAACGATGAACACTATGAATTAGGAATTACACTTGTTACACAGTTGTAGTGGGATGTGACAATAATCAATGCGTGCCAACGACGAACGCTAACAATTAGTAACAACACGAAACAAGGCTGCTGCTGCTGCTGCAGTGTACACTACTACTACACGATGGTGATCGGTAACATTACGAATCATAAGCAGAAACATGACTATTGCACTTTACACTCTTAACATTGTGACAAACGCGGAGGCTTATTGATTAACCGGCACTCATAGTTAATTAATGATTAATCATAACACCCCCCTCCCCTCCCGATAGGATAGCGAGGGAAGACGAAATCTTGTCCCGTAGCCTACGACGGCGATTGATGAGGAACCCCCCAAACTCAGAACTTGTTAAAAAATTTCTTTCTGTAGATTTCACACCTGATGATGGTTGCTTGTGTTGCAGTCGAAACGTCGTGAGAATTTTTATTGTTTTATATTTTTATTATTTCATTACTTCCCTTCTACGTGACTTTACCGAAAGAACCAAGAATACGAATCCCCGCAGTCACGAAAGCTTTAAATCTGAGTTTTAACTCAGAACAAGCCAAATGTTAACAATAAGGAACGCGTATCCTGCACTGTACACTGCACTGTACACACAAATTAATGACCGCTCACACGACGGCGATCTGATCTTAAGAATTACAAATAACGCTGCTGACAATGCGAACAAGACTCGGTAATAACAACCTCAGTAGTGTAGTAGTCGTAGTAGTAGTCGTAGAAGAAGGGGAATTCGGCTCCGTTTGCTCGCTCCGTCTCCCGCCCCGGGTCGTTCCGCCTCTGCCCGGCGCGATCAGCCCCGAGCCGCCTCCAGCCGACACCTCCCGGCGACTCCTTCTTCTTTGTTTGTCGTGGCTTGTTGAGAAACACCGCTGGGGGTGGGTGTGGGGGTGGTGTGGAGGGTTTTGTTGTGAATATTTGTGAAGGAATAAGAAATTAAAACGAGTTTCCCCCTCGCGCTGTGAGCTGCTGTGTGAGGCCTTCGAGATCAGGTTGAGGACTTGCGGTCACGTGATCAGTGGGGGGGGCTACCGCCGCCTGTCACGTGATCAGGGGGGTGGGGGGGGGCTACCACCGCCGGTCACGTGATCAGTGGGGGGGGGGCCTACCACCGCCTGTCACGTGATCACTGGGGGGGTGGGGGCTACCACCGCCTGTCACGTGATCACTGGGGGGGTGGGGGCTACCACCGCCGGTCACGTGATCACTGGGGGGGGCGGGGGTGGGGGCACTATCGCTGGTCACGTGACAGGCAACTTGTGATACTGCTGTCGTGGCTGTGACGGTTCCACCTGAAGGCGGAAGCTTGTGTTGCCTCCGAAACGTCGAGATTTTTATTTTATTTTTATTTTACTTTTATTAATTTAAAAAATTTTTTACCTACGTGACTTTACCGAACAAAACTAAGAATATGAGTCCAAGTCGGTTCGTTCAACGCTGAGTGGGGGGGGGTGATCGAACCCGGCCAATAGAAGTTATTACTAATAACGTGAGCGAAGAATGTTTGTGTGTAACGCGTGTGACGTCACTCCACGTTGACCAGCCCCCCCCCCTCATTAATAATCATGACCAGGTGACGTCACTCCACATGGACCCCCTCCTCATTAATAATCGTGACCAGGTGACGTCACTCCACATGGACCCCCCCTCATTCATAATCGTGACTAGGTGACGTCACTCCACATGGACCCCCCTCCTCATTAATAATCATGACCAGGTGACGTCACTCCACATGGACCCCCCCCCTCTTTAATAATCATGACCAGGTGACGTCACTCCACATGGACCCCCCCCCTCATTAATAATCATGACCAGGTGACGTCACTCCACATGGACCCCCCCCCTCATTCATAATCGTGACCAGGTGACGTCACTCCACATGGACCCCCCCCCCTCATTAATAATCATGACCAGGTGACGTCACTCCACATGGACCCCCCCCCCTCATTCATAATCATGACCAGGTGACGTCACTCCACATGGACCCCCCCCCTCATTAATAATCATGACCAGGTGACGTCACTCCACATGGACCCCCCCCCTCATTCATAATCGTGACTAGGTGACGTCACTCCACATGGACCCCCCCCCTCATTCATAATCGTGACCAGGTGACGTCACTCCACATGGACCCCCCCCCCTCATTCATAATCGTGACTAGGTGACGTCACTCCACATGGACCCCCCCCCTCATTAATAATCGTGACCAGGTGACGTCACTCCACATGGACCCCCCCCCTCATTCATAATCGTGACTAGGTGACGTCACTCCACATGGACCCCCCCCTCATTAATAATCGTGACCAGGTGACGTCACTCCACATGGACCCCCCCCTCATTCATAATCGTGACTAGGTGACGTCACTCCACATGGACCCCCCCCCTCATTAATAATCATGACCAGGTGACGTCACTCCACATGGACCCCCCCCCTCATTCATAATCGTGACTAGGTGACGTCACTCCACATGGACCCCCCCTCATTAATAATCGTGACCAGGTGACGTCACTCCACATGGACCCCCCCCTCATTCATAATCGTGACTAGGTGACGTCACTCCACATGGACCCCCCCCTCATTAATAATCATGACCAGGTGACGTCACTCCACATGGACCCCCCCCCCTCATTCATAATCGTGACTAGGTGACGTCACTCCACATGGACCCCCCCCCTCATTAATAATCGTGACCAGGTGACGTCACTCCACATGGACCCCCCCTCATTAATAATCATGACCAGGTGACGTCACTCCACATGGACCCCCCCCCTCATTCATAATCGTGACTAGGTGACGTCACTCCACATGGACCCCCCCCCTCAATAATCGTGACCAGGTGACGTCACTCCACATGGACCCCCCCTCATTAATAATCGTGACCAGGTGACGTCACTCCACATGGACCCCCCCCCCCTCATTAATAATCGTGACCAGGTGACGTCATTCCACATGGACCCCCCCTCATTCATAATCATGACCAGGTGACGTCACTCCACATGGACCCCCCCCTCATTAATAATCATGACCAGGTGACGTCACTCCACATGGACCCCTCCTCATTAATAATCGTGACCAGGTGACGTCACTCCACATGGACCCCCCCCTCATTAAAAATCGTGACCGGGTGACGTCACTCCACATGTACCCCCTCCTCATTAATAATCATGACCAGGTGACGTCACTCCACATGGACCCCCCCCCCCTCATTAATAATCGTGACCAGGTGACGTCAATCCAAATGGACCCCCTCATTAATAATCGTGACCAGGTGACGTCACTCCAAATGAACCCCCTCCTCATTAATAATCGTGACCAGGTGACGTCACTCCACATGGACCCCCCCCTCATTAATAATCGTGACCAGGTGACGTCAATCCAAATGGACCCCCCTCATTAATAATCGTGACCAGGTGACGTCACTCCACATGGACCCCCCCCTCATTAATAATCGTGACCAGGTGACGTCACTCCAAATGAACCCCCTCCTCATTAATAATCGTGACCAGGTGACGTCACTCCACATGGACCCCCCCCCCTCATTAATAATAAGCGGGTGACGTCACTCCACATGGGGGTGGAGGGGGGGGCGCCTCCTCCCCCTCCTCGGCGTCAACTTATTTTGATTTCGAAAAGTGTATTGGTTTAGCCATGTTTGTTTGTTGTAGTACAGAGTTAGACTGATGGCCTTAATCTAAGTTGTCTTGTGGTTGTTGTTGGTGTTTGACTTGCATCCCACTGGGATTTTTGCACACAGCGTTGGTGTACGGTGTTTTTTCTGCAATATTTTTGCTGTCTTTTCTTGGATTTTCTGTTTGCACTTAGTCACATATTCACTTTAAGATGTTTTTTGTTCATGTTTTTGTTTTTTGTTTGTTGCGGTTGCACCCGATTCAAGAGCTGAATGGCTCACAGGGCTATACCTAATAAATGAACTTGAACTTGAACAAGCTTTAAGACAAAGGCAGAAGAATCCTCACGTCACGCGGTCTCCGTGTTGAGACATCGACAGCTTCCCACTTTCATCTTCTTGGTTCTTTCGGTAAAGTCTACGTGACTTTACCGAAATAACCAAGAAGATGAATCCCTGCAGTCACGAAAGCTTTAAACCGAAGCTTCCCACTTTGTCGGAAAGTACCCGAACGGTTTTTGGGATATGCAGATTGAGGTCTTTATTTATATAGATACTGGAGAAATCCGATGAGCTATAACGCTCTTTTCTCCCTACAGATGTCCAGTAAGGGGGTACGGGGTGAGCAAGTTACAACAACAAAAAACAATTAACAAAAACACGATAGGAGTGAAAAGTATAGGGAAGGTAAACAAATCCCTTAAAAAATAATAAAAAAATACTAAACATTTTTTCTCACTCAGTTTAACACGTAGGCTTTAGCGACCAATATTATTCATAATAAACGTTTTTGGGTTAGATCGCGTTATTTATAAATGTGTCGTAACCCTCCACCACCCGACACGGCCAATCAGTAAAAAAGTGTCACGTTGACAAAACACCGGTGGGCTAAAGTAGTGAACTATTTGTCTTTTGTCAACGTGACACTCTTTTTACTGATTGGCCGTGTCGGGTGGTGGAGGGTTACGACATAAATAACGCGATCTAACCCAAAAACGTTTATTATGAATTATTTCTCTCACTGTTATCAATTATTTTGAAAATTACAATAAATAAAACAATTGTAATCCCATCAACCGCGCGGTCCTTCTGCGAATGTCACATTTTCAGCAGCGTTAATTCAAAACGCAGCAGAATCAACATCACCTAATACACTATAACCAAAGAGTTATGGGTTCCTGCAGTAACGAAAGCTTCAAATCAAGACTAAGACAATATTTTGTGTCCGTAGAGTACTGTGGTATAATCGACGACAGGAATAGACAGTACAAGGTCCTTTAAAAATGTTTAAACACTTAAATGCGACTATCGTTTTTAATGGAAAAACATAACAAATGTATGTTAATTGCTTCAAAAAGGTCAAAAAGTATCCACTTGCTCGCCATCATTGTCAACACATGCATGGAATCTTGTCCGGGTGGTCTCCAGAGCTCGGAGGCATATTTCTTGTGGTGTTGTTGCAAATTCTCAGAAGTGTGGACATGTTTTTGAAGCACCCTGTATTTATACGCTATCGTGGAAACACGCGATCCCTTCCAAAGCCACTAGAAGGCGCTACATTGACTACAATGATGACGTGCTGTCTACGACATCTGAAAAAAAACAAATACGGTAACACAAACACGGAAGAATAAAACAACAACAAAATCGACTCTCGCACACACGATTCGATGCAACTAATAATGGTTGTCACGTAAACAGAACATGCCAATTTGTCACTAGTACAGCACGCCGGTGTGTTGGAGAGCCAAGCCACAATATTTACAATCTGAGTACGACGTTTCGCCAGTAATTACAACTAGCTTCATCAGGCGACAGCCAGATTTGTGGAGAAGTCCACCTGCTTCGTTCCTTATATAGAGACGTAGATGTGGTGACCACGCTTCTGCGCTCTTGCGCAAAGTGCGGGAGGATTAATAAGTCAACGTACATGATGCATGCGCATTATGCGAGCCCTTTGATCTGTCCATTATGTTTATTAAAATAGCCGTTTAAATGCATGCCTGTATAGGCATGCATTTAAACAATGTATTATAATTATTTGATGATTCGCTTCCATGCAGCACTAAGTCGGTAGATATCCGAACGGTTAAAAAGTTATTTATTTCAATTTTGATTCCACATTTCCCCTGCACGGTATCCACGCCACAGCCTGAGCTCCCCCCTCTGAATTAAATCGTTACCTCCCCCCCTCCATTTATCTTCCACTTGGTATCGTCCAAAACTCGCACCACGTGATGCGATCGGGCCAATCGTGGCGCCGCGTTTAGGGGGCTTCACGTGACCGCGGTGCGAGCTTTTCGTTCTTTATTTTCGCTTTGAAGCCCGCGTGTTTATTTTTCAATTTGACATTTAGTTTGACGTCCTTTATTTTATTTTTACGCCTCGCGTTTGTGTCCGAGCGATCGATTAATGTTCTCGGTTCGAACGAAGCGAAAACAAGCCAGGCGGGAGCGCGTGTCGCGACTGTCGGCCAGACTAGCACGGGCCTGAGCTGTGTGAGTTAAAAACATAATGAAAATAAATTAATACACTCGACTATGTAATTGCATTCGTAACACTTTTTAAAAAAATGTATTAACATCAATGGTCGTTCAGACTCGATACATTGTGCCGCTTTGATTTAAATCGATAACATCGTCACGATTCCGAACCTCTCGCTGAGGGATCGATTATTTGTTATCACCGGTTCGTGCGTTTATCGATTACAAGTGCGTACGTTTAAATAGTCGGTGGCTGTCTGAGTGTTAATATAAGTGATATATATTGGTATCGATCGATATCGCGCACCATGGGCATGAGCTTATGAGTCGGACAATGTGTTGACCTATTTTGACTGAAGCGATATCGGTGCCAGAATCGATATCCATGCGAATCGCGATGGATTTGTCACGAAATGCGTGATTCACTTTCATTTTCTTGATTTAACCAGCGGGATTCCTTATTAGCCGGTTTACAAAACAAATAGCAATGATCCGGCAGGTAGTAGTTGCTGTCTAACTTGTGTTGTTATTGTTGTTTGTGTGTGTTGCTATGCTTCTATTCAGAGTGTAGGTTTTTATTGAAGGACATCGTGGCGACCTCACTGATTGACTGACGGTGACGTCGTCGGCTGAATCTCATCTCCCACCACCACCACCACCCCCGTGCGTGGCTTTCACTCCCGGTTGCCAACGACCAGCAACACACAGCACTCATTCAAAGTTGTAATAACGCTGTCGTTTTACCGTCATTGCTGTTGATTCTACGATGATAACGTGACGGCGAGTCGGGGGAGGGAAAGACATTCGTACTGAGCAGGGCAGTGTGGGGTAGTGGGAATTGAACCTCGTGTCTCCGAGCTAAGCGATTAGTTCACAAACGCCGTGACAGGCGACTGTGTCGTGAACAGCACGCACAGCCACCGAACAGCAGCCAGCCAGCCAGCCATCTGTCCTCTCAGCATCTTGCACGTCCTTGTGTATGCATAACATTTTTTTTAAAATATAAAGTGACTCGGATGTACCGGGCCTAATACAGAATTACCAAAGTCTTTTACGATATATCTATTGTGCGTACTTAACACGTGTTCGAAAGTCGTCTTCACACGGCCATGAACCGCCGCTGCCTGATGATCTCCAGAAGTAGCAGACTCCTGTCTTGACTATGAAATGAGATCCCTCATTATAAAGCCATGGATTTCCCGACAGCGCCTGCATTAGCCACAGAGAGCAGTGGTGCATTGTCAGCAGTGATGGGAGCTCATAGCCACCGTGATTAGAGACAGGGGGCATGCGTTTGTTGGTTTTGTTTTTGTGAGTTAATCTGCCCAGGGCAGTTTCCTGGATCTAGTCATAACTAAGGGGCAGGAGTCGTTGAGGTGATTTCATCCCCCCCCCCCCTGCCTTTTTCGACAGCGTCATTAAGGCGTCACAATTCATTTTAGTTGTTTTAGAACGCTGACTCTGACCTGCACATTTTTTAAAAAGAAAATACGAACGCTGAATCCGTCAGAGGCATTTGACTGCAGTCTAAATGTTTTCATGCAACAAAGAAGCCATTGATGTTTACTTCGGATGAGTAGGTTTTACAAAGGACAGCCCCCGTTGCGTTTTAAATCAGGAATCTCAGAACCGAGCGGCGGGGAAATTTAGTTTGCTACAAACAACTCGACCGAGTTGGTCCCTCTGAGACGTAATTCAGGAGGTGAGGTTGAAGAATAAACGGAAGCCATAAAATCGATACATTTTCAAATCAAAACCAAACTGAAATAAAACGAAACCACCATCTCATCAATCAGATCTCAGCCAGGCTGAGCTCCGGTCGTCTTCCGACACGATCCACCACTGCAACCGCAACCACCACCGTCGTTGCCATTGCGTCTGCCCCATCATCGCCTTCGCCGCCGCGACGATGTCGTGTGGCGGCTGCTTCCTGGTGCTGTGGTCGCTGTGCGGCGCCGCGGCGCTCTGCTTGCTGGTCGCCGCCGCCCTCATGCCGTCGTGGCGCGACCTCATACTCGTGGACCCGACTAAGCGCTCCATCGTAGTGCGCCACGGCCTCTGGGTTCGCTGCGCCGGGTACGAGGGCGACGTCCCCGGTGGGGTGGTGTCGTGGGCGGCCACGTGGTTTGGCCCCGACAGCGGAAAGGAGGGCGAGGATGGCGGAGGGAGCCGGGGCTGCGTGGTCCGCGACTCCGCGTGGCCGATAGCCACCGACTCGCTGGACCTGCGCCTGCTGCAGCTGGGCGTGCCGACCGCCTGCCTCGTGGCGCTCGTGGCGCTCGCGCTCAACGTGAGCGGCGCCGTGGCGCTCTGCCGGAGCGGGAGGCGGAGCGGCCGTCTCTATGGTGAGGACGAAGACTCCACTTCTTTGTCGTCGACGTCCTCTTCCTCCTCGTCAGAATTCAGCTCCAAGAGGAAGAGGAAGAAGAAGAAGGCGCAACAGGTATGAGACAGAGCAGCACGGGACATGGAGACGGGTGTGCTCCCTCTAAGGGAGGAAGAGGGTAGTTCAAGGCCTTTTTTTATTTGTAATCACGGCATCTATCCGTGTTCCTTCACCTTGCAATGCTGGCACAATCTCAGCTGCTGGCAATGACCCTGAATGTTTCTCCCTCCGTTCCCGCTTCCCACATCCCACCCGCAGTGCTGCCAGTTCAACCCGTGCGGCTGCCAGGTGGTGGCGTCGGTGCTGTACCTGCTGGCGAGCGCTCTGGTGCTGCCGCCTGCGCTGTGGGCGCTGCTGTCGGTCGACGAGCTGAACCGGGCGCACGTCTCGGGGGACGCGCGCTGGCGCCCCGGCGAGGCCGTGCCCGTGTGCCTGGCGGCCTGCGCGGGGCTGCTGGCGGCCGCGGGGGGCCTCGCCATGTGGTACTGCACCTGCCGCCCGCTCCCGCCGGCGCCGCTACCGCCGGCGCCGCTCGCGCTGGGCTCGCTGCTGGGTATGGAGGCGCTGGGGCTGAGTGGCCGCGCCGGTCCGGCCGAGGCTTGCGGGCGCAGCACGCGGCAGAGCCATCGCACGACCGGCAGCTTCCCCGCCGGGCCGACGTCGGTGTCTTCGCGACCCATGTCCCGCGCCACCCTGGAGCTCGATATCCCCATGTACGAGTTGCACTAGCCTGACTAGACAGAGAGAGAGCAGAGGGGTCCCGGACGAACAGCTGAGCATGGGTTCGCACCATAGTTTGGAGACGTCCGTGCGTTACGACCGCGGCTGGGTCTGGGTCGTCACTGGAGCCGACGGACGGCTCCGCAGGCGAAAGTGTTCCCACGTACGAGTTACGCCAGCTCAGGGCTCCCCAACTGCCTTGATGTGAAGAGACAGATTAGTAAGACAACTAGATCGGATAGAAAAGAGAGGTGAGAGAGCTGCAGACTGAGAGGTGCACGTTTGTTGTTGCCACGTGTACAGGCGTTATAATTTCACAATGCCATCCAACAATAACAAGACACTAACAATCGGTAATTTCATTACGTGTTAAATATAGATGAATATCTGCTGTAGAGAGTGCGGAATGGGCGGGGGATTCGGATGTGGTTTAGAAATACACGGGGGGGGGGGGTGGGGGTGGAAAATGAGAAGCGCGTGCTGTTACACTGGAGCACTGGAGAATGGGGGGGTGTGGGGTGGTGGTGGGCATCTGTACGTAGGACTCGGGTTTCACTCGAGGGGACGAGCAGCGGGGTCAGTAAAACCTCACCGACTTCAAGGTGTCTCCCAGCTCAAATGAGCTTCGGGCGATGCTCGGTTGTGGAAATTCCATATGCCTGTGGCGGGGTCCAATCTCTCCATAGGACAGACTCCTGCAAAGGGGTACTCATTTCTCTCTTCTGGAGGAACGATGCGCCCAGTTTACCACTGGAGAGTCAAGCGCTTTCACCTGAGCACTACGCACCCAGACGCTTTAACTGAGGGGTCGTAAAAGCACGGCTTGCCGGCCTCGTGTGCCGCCTATAATTGTGCGTGTGACCGTGTAGCCATGCCATGCCATGCCAGTTGGGTTCCTCGGCAGTATCCGAACACCCACAACCCATGCTTTTTGGCTCGTCGATGGGCAAGTCACGATGCCTATATTTATCAATCTGAAATTGATTCGTACGGTTACCCGACACGCATCGAATCACGCATTCAAGAATCGTAATTATTAGTTTGTAAACGTTTGCGATTATTCATGTAAACCCTGCAGCTTGTAAAGTTTCGATGTGTCACAAGGAGTGATGTAGAATGTTAACCAATTAGGACTATTGATTGAGCTAAAAGATTTGTCCATCTATTTTAATCATGGATAAATAGTCATAACATACCACAGTGTTGGTCTTACTCGGATGAATTGACTTTAATCCATGGTGGAATGGCGATCGTGCCGCATTCCGTTGTGTGTGTATTAAACCATAAATAAGCCATACTTTATAAGATACAGATAATTACCTTCAAATTTGCTCCCCCTTATCATTTGGATCATTTTGAAATGTTGACTGTGAGGATGCCTCATTTGCGGAAGTGCCCTTCTTTCTCTCAACCTAAACATTTTCCTAAGTAGTTGGGCATCCCTCCTGCCAAAACGTCACGTTTGTCTTCCCTCAACTAGAGGAACTTAACTTTTGACTTCACAAAAAGACCCGATTCGGGGTGCAGAATTGTGTACAAAACTTTTTTATATAACCCCTACCGACTGTCTACCACGTGATTTTACCCCAAAGTCCGCCACCGTTTACATTCCTATGCACGGGTTGCACTAGAATCGTTTGGGAAAAAAAAGAGAGAAGGTTTATTTTGTTAAGACAAATAAATAGCACTAACGCGCGCGGTGTGCCACCATAAACGCGTACCGTCTACGCCCGTGCTGGTGGCCGAGAAAAGCGTTTGCAGAAAAGCGTCCGCGACATTTCAGGGTGTTGTTTGCTGAAAGAAAAAATGACTCGTTCACTTTCTCCCGTTACAGTTTTAACTTTGGCTTTCGTGTTTACGCTAGCGGTCATGTTTATTGAGACGCATCCGATGTACTCCTCTTTTTTGCACAGTTCATACTAAACATTCCAAACACACCAGTTAATACTTTTCTGTATCGGTTGTTAATCCCCTATCGTAACACCTCTTGTGTTTTGCAGAGGGGAACTTTGCTTCTTGTTTCTAAGACGGAACAATCAACCACACAGCATTAGGATCTTATCACTGTAATGCTATAATCACTAACATGCCACTGCCCCACCCAAGGTAGCAATGGCCTGCGTAGAGAGCAGAGCCCCTGCCCGGTCAATGTCCCTCACCTCCCGTGGGAGAAATATAAACATTAGCCCACCTTCCGCTGGACAAATGGCAACCGCACGCTATCGCAGCCGGGCCTACCCTTGCAGAAGAAGCCATGCCCACCTGCCATTGCTATTTGAACTCACCGGTTCGATTTTAAGGCTGCGTCGTCTTGCGACACTCTCGTTTCAGACTAGTTGAATGTCGCCAAGTATTGGGGTGACTCCTAAATAAAAGTCTTGCTTCAAATTCCTAAGCAGTTGGTTGCCTGGCATCGGTGTGGACGGCACTATTTTTTACAATTGGAAGTTTACGTTGTCCACGTCGTGAGGTACCCGTTTGTGGGAATGAGGATGGATAGCGGCTGTTCTGTTAAAGTCACGGCTGATTGATTTACGATCAGTCACCGAGTGTGGTTGCTAAGTGGGATAGATAAGACGACTTGAAGCCAGCTGAGAGCTCCTTGAGAAGGAAAGTCTCTCAAGGGTGACCAAGGCCCCGTTGGACATGGGGTTATTATCACATCCTCGTAATATGGCCTGTGGCTCTTCATTGCAAGTTTAGGCTGGGTTGGCACGTGGTACACGAACTCCAGCGATCGCACCGACACTTCAGATTTTGTAATTTTACTTTGTGCTAACATTTGAGCTGTGAGTATTTTTCTCGAATAGACTACATACGTTTTAAATTATTTATTGAAAAACATTTACTTAACAGCATTTTTAGACCCTTGTCGTGGTATACTCCGTTTTTAGACACGACGTTTTAATCGCGGCATTATTGACGTATTTTTAACTCGAGTAAGCCGTAGTAGTAGTACTCTTTTTTTTATGTAAATGCCATTGTGAGTTTACTTTTTGACAATGCTCCGCAGGGGTTAACACCCGATGTTGGCGAGGGGGGGTGCGGTGTCAAATGAGCACATGGAGGGCGAATTTTCTTCTCTCCACTCGCGCACTTGGCATTGCAGCTGCGCGTTTATCCAAACGTCGTCGAGACGTTGACCGCACAAGAGCAAGACGTCCCCCCCCCCCCCCCCGCAAAGGTCCACTAACCCCCAGCCCTCACCCGCCGCCTTTCGTGGCGACCGCGGTGCCACATTATCCACAGTGTGATGGCCTGCGACGAGCTATTTTCTGTGTAAATAAATAGTATTTTTCTCTACGAATTTTGTGCTTAGAAAGTTTGGAATTTCAGGGAAGCGCACCATGTCACGTGAAACAGACGAAGACTGCTATGAATTCGGAATTTCATTCGCACCGGGTATACCGATGCATAGTTTTATCGATTTATATCGATTCTTAAGCTCACAACAAGCATCAAAACAATACGTGTGCGCAAAATCGACGTTTTATGATTCCTGTGTGTTGCGTGGAATTACTTTCACGCGACTCCTGGAGCCACTAGTGGTCGCTACTTCACCACAACACAGCAGAACAAAAACTAACAATATATTGAATCGAATTGCAATCGTGAATTTCGACAATTCATTGAACCCCTAGACCAAGTGGGGTGGGTGAATGGTTGCACCCCAAATGGATGGTTTGGAATTCAGACCAAAGTAGACTATCTGACTAGAGAAGGTGATACTGAGTGACCACTACTATGGGATTTGTACCCCAGCTCGTATTAGTAGCGTGGGAAGCAGATTTGATCTATGACCAATATGTCCTGGACACAACAATTAGTCTGAAATACGGTCTCAAGACTGGAATGTTTTAAAAAAATAATATTTTACAACCCTGTGTAGTGCTCTTGTTAATCGTGTGGATTGTGTAACCATACTTCACCACGCTGGTCAATGTGGGTTTGTGAAAGGGGGGAGGGGAGCCCAGGACCAGTTTGAACGGCACTCGCCATTGACGTTGGCTATGGTCAGATATGAAACTGGGGTCATTAATGTCAGTGCAGTGCGCCAATCACTGCACCACCCCTTCTCCCTCTGCAGGCTAGTAAGGCGTTCAAACTTTGGCAGCTTGGTTCGTGTTTGATTCTAGGATTACCTTTAAGAGTTCAAATCCTTATTGTACACCTTACATCGCGCGCTTAGATCTTACGTGGAACGCGGGCACAGACACGTCCAGGGCTTGACTTTTTTAATCGAACTTTGCTTTAATCCTGCGTGCGCACACGTAGCAAAAACAATGAACCCCATTTGCTTCCCGTGACTTTTAACGTTTGGGACGTTTACCAAGCTTTCGTCTCGTGAAATGTCTCGCGGCGGGCGACGTGCGTTCGCCGATTAATTGACTAATCATGATCCTTTCCAACTCTTCTGAGCCTGCTCACTGACAATCATAACTCCACACTCCTCTATCCAGCACGGGTTGATGCAGTCGAAATATCTAATTATGCTAGCACCATGCCACCGATGGCATTGTTCTGTAACTGAGACCAACTTTTACTTGTCTCTTAGCATCGCTGGTGCCACCAAAAAATTCGGAGCCCCACTGATGATGTGTTCATTGAGCCCCATAATGCACTGCACAGCTGCGTGGCTCGTGCGGTCTGATAATGGCAAATTACCAAGTCACATCCGACTCGCTGGGGACTGAACTGAGGTTTAGGCACACGTGTGAAAGGGAGGGGTGTGTGGACGTGTACAGAAAGTGACAGTGATACCATGCGCAAATACTCAACGTGGAGTGGGAGGGTAATTGGTCGGCGGATGCCTGACATTCTTCTGTTATTAAATTACGCCGCGGGTGACGTCAAGAAAAGTTTTAAAGCGGCTGCCTTGACAATCATTGGAACGCTTTTCTCAGTAACAATAAAAGTGGGATGATCCAAAACGCAGGACCTAAATGGGGCCGATGTGTCGGCTTTCAGTTGTCATTTCAAATCACTGGATTATAAGTGAAAATCAGATGCAGATAATGTTGCGTTTTGGCATCGGCCCATCTTCAGAGCAAAACTGGAAGGGGGAATGTGATTTGTATTGCCAGCATACTTCGATGTTTTATTTGTATCTAAATTCCTCCGCCAATATTCTTCCTCGAAACAACACGGGGATGTCATTTTGGGTGTGTTCTTCGCCTGGTTTTAAACGATGAACTTTAGTCATTGAAGCAATTTTGGAACCAACCTTTTGCAATGTTGACTCGTGACGCTGCTGGTGATTAGTAGACTGCTGCCAAAGAACAGCCAGCAGTTTTGCAACAATTGCAATTATCTCCGGAGCAACCTTTCAAGTCTGCCACTATTTCTGTATTTACGTCACATACCGAAGGTGTCTATTTTTTTGCTTTGCAGACATGCCAAGTAGGCAGTTTTACGTTCATTGCGTATAT